TCTGTGGATTTCTGAATGTCCTATGCTAAATCTTATATGGCTAGGATATTTCACCGTCCACCAAGTGAGCCATACTTGTCAAATTTATCCTAACTTTTCTTACTATTGAGACGATTTGTGTGATCGTTGAATTATTAATGCATCAACATTGTCAAAAAGCTATAACAACATAAAACAATCGAAAAGCCTTCGTCTAACGAGTCACCTATTGTTTATTCATAATTAACACAGATCCTAAACAAACGTATGTTAAACCTCGTACGACCATGTAAATTCTTTTTTCAGGACAGGCTTTTGCAAAACTATAAGCTAACAAACTTTATTTTAAGTCAAACTCAAAGAAATGTTATATTTTCTTCCAAAATACCTATATATTTATATAAATATAGAATATTTCATGATAGTTTATTTTCGTATTTGGCAAAATTGAGGATATATACACATATTATAATATATTTTTAATTAATCATCAATCAAACAATTCATCATCAAGTGAATAAAGTCGAACGTCATATTATAGGTAAAGATAAGTTACTTTTCTCAAAACTCGTCATTTTTAATCTTTAAAAGTGCTAACTATGATTTAATTTTTCTTTGTCTTGTCTCTGTAGGGGAAAATGTGGCATCCAGCGCATTAATTTGACTACAAGTCTACAACAGACAAGCCAAGCTATTATTATATTACTTAAATGGGGCCACAGAATATCAGTGTTGGTACTTTAGTCCCAACTTAGCTGAGTGGACTCGTTTTCAGAAGCAACTGTATTTTTTATTATATTATACATATTTAGTAGTACTTTAATGCTTCATTTACAATTATTTTTATATTGTGTTTGTAAAATGTCGTATGTTGTTTCTGAATAAACTACAAAATTAAAATAAAGTCCTATAAGACCTCAACTGTTTGGCCACCCTACCGCTGAGAGAATATAAACAAAGCTGAGACGTGAATAATGACCAGTTTTGAATATCGACTGCAAGATATAATGACTTGTTGAATTTAGCAGATCCCGGCTATGTGGAAGCGAGCCTCTCTATTGCCAATCAATCTGTTACATAACAATATATTTAAATGAAACTATTTCCAACTTCACCGTTTCGAAAGATATAGAATCTTCTTGAGGGCATAATAATAGTTGTTTACGGAATAATGAGATATATCTTCTTGAGTAGCTCTTGAAATTCTCTATTGTAATTGGAAGCCAAGAGAAATAGAATATTCTGCAAAATTTTGCATTTATTCAATCGTTATCCTTTTTGAACAACTTATGAATGGAAACACAGAGAAGTCTGTATTATTGTTATAAGTCTACAGGGCGAGTTCGCAAAATCAGTTAGATTGGACAAAGTCTCAATATTATTTATACGAATTAATTAATTCGAAGATGAAGTCTACACCACGGTAGCTCAATTGATTAGAGCTGCAGCACGGAACGTTGGAAATGCCGGTTCATCTCTTGCCCGTATCGGCACTTTTTTTTATTTTGATTTTTAATAAATATAATGGAATTGCATACAAATAACATAATACATATAATCTGTAGATTTATAATGTAATATTCTGTATTGTATTTAACGAGAGAATGATACTAATCGTATATTTTATTATAAGTTACTTATGGCAACATCGAATTGGTACATAACAATATAAATGTATGATACATATGTAAGCGTAGTTTATATTTTACGCGAGTAAATAAATATAAATACCTTCTCAAAATAAATAACACTTTCTATTACTTTTTCTATATAGATTTAGTAAGCGCTGATTAAAAGTAATGACCTTTCTTCTATAAAGGATTGCATTTACCGCGTCTTATGCAACAGACAACAAAAGGGCAGATGTCGGAGGTAACATACGGGCGTTTTGTTCAAATAACAATCACATTTAATGAACTTGCGCTGCGACAAACACGTTTGCTAATAGTAAATATGATTTTTGTGATAAGATATGAGATTTGCTTGCTACTTTCATATATAAAATGTGTATATACGTGATAGAATTTAAAAAAACTTCCCAATACTTGGTGGCTCTTCATACATTTTCATCTACTCCTAATTGCTTAAAAGGAAGCGATTCACACACAAACACACAGTTAGATAGATACTTTTAATAAGGGAAACTTGTTGTATTGTCTAATAATGGAAGCAAGATATTGCAGCTTTTTTTAACTAACCAATTTTATTGTATTTGTTCAATTAATAATGAACGGGATGTGGATTTGATTACAACGGGGACCAACATATTTTTTATTACATCCTTCATTTCGGCTGAAAAATTTAGACAACGGTGATTCACGAAACAAGGTCTACAAAAAACCGTGAGTGTTAATAAGCGTTTCGGTTTCAGTCTGTAGATTTCTAAATGTCTTAAATGAAAATAGGCCAACAGTGCATCTGCTTTAGATTTTACGTAACAAGTATTTACTTCCATTAATTGAATCTTTGCTTGCCTGTCTTCTGTCATAAATAGCACTAAAATAACTTTAAATGACTAACCCTTGAACCACAAATAAATACGAATAAAGTTATAGGGCGCCACGCAGTGACCCAGTGAGCAGTTATTTATACCCAACCCGTCAGATAACTTGCATTGTTTCTCTAACAATAATACAATCACAAAGTTGTATCGATACTACATAAGCTTAAAAATAAGGCTCTCATACACGGCTATAAGAAGCTACTACTTTGGCTTTAAAGAGTTACATTATTCAATTATTTTTGTATTATTAATAATATAGGAGGAATATTTAGAAAGTGATATACAATACAACATGTAATTTTCTTTTCAAATGTTTAAATATTAAGCTTATAATTGTTTTATTTATAACAAAATAAGATTGAAATTTTTTTACATACAACAAACGTGATATTTATATAATTGACAAAATACACTTAGCCACGCTTACAATAGACATCGATGCTTAGATCGATGCGAGCTTATGATGTGGAACGAAACCTTTGTTTACTAGTCCAACTCGCACTTAGCTGTTTTTTTAAGAAGACATGTATAAAATATATATCACCACTTGTACCACTTAAGTACAGAGCCTATTTGGAGGAAATAGAGATTGGTCCCTAAGTAGGAAAAGCAGTTAATAATGTTTACGGCTCTGAATTCTTGTTATTTTGACGCTCAGCTGCCAATTAGGAAAGTCGCTTGCAAACGAATAACTTTACACAAGTAAAATTAGTAAAATTATAATTATTTTATGAAGTGTAAGCTGGGGAACAAGACAAAATATGGATATTATAATGAACAAAATTTTTAATTATTATTAAGTATTTCTTAAATGTATGTTTGTATTTATATTCACATTTTAAAATATCGTTTTATACTACGATAAGTAATCAATAATCGATTAGATTCACAGACGTATATCTACTCATCGCATCCCGATGTCAATTGTCAATTTCAACGTATAATATTAGACAAGTACAGTATCTGCCGCCTAATTAAATGTTTATCACATTTCAATTTACGTTTAGTGTCAATTACTACACGAATAACCTTTAAACTGCCCCCATTTAGTGATCATTTGCATAAATTCTGCTGTTTCACTAATTAGATATTATAGCTACTGTAATTCTCAATTTAAGCTAAAGGTCTGTGGTGTTCTACAACTTGGATGTGCACAGATTATGGAGGCAATGCTTAAGGAATACATAAGTCTTTGTACTTACGATATTAGTACTTAGCCATACAAAAAGGGGCATAAATATACATTTTTTTTATTAGTAAACATCCACTTAAACTGTAAAGCGATGTTAGTTAATTTCTGTTTATTCCGTTTAGACTGAATCCCGCACTCCTTCCTTGCAGACTATAGGTACGGACACAGAAATATGTCCGATCAGTAATCTTTTTTGTATTTTGCACATAGTAACCAAACTTTTTGTTACATATTCAGCGCTATTACTTTGTTCCCTCTGACTAAAGTTTTTCACACAAATTAAGAGCAAATACGAGCCATAATTACGAACTAATTGCGGTCAAAAAAATTACGTGGAAATATTTTAATTAAACGAAAGCTTTTTTCAAGAAAGCAAGTTATTTGTCATAAAAACATGACATATTTAGACTGAGCGAGATTCGCGGCGTTGCGTGTGCCTTCTTACGTCACATACGTTGAATGATAAAAAGTCGTTTTTTTTAATTAAACATATTAATACGTAAAATTTTAAAACGCAAGAGCCCTACCAATCCTTTCCTTATTTCGGATTTTCCTCCTCCTAACTCCTTACTACGACGCGCTGTTTAGCTCGTCATTGATCATCGATCAGTCCGTCCGTCGTTCAGACATTTTATATGTATAGATGTTAACAAGCGGACGATGCTTTGTCTGATGTCGAACTTAATTGTTAACAATGAGAAAATTAGTTAAGTATCTTAATGATGATGTGCAATCCAGTTTCTTGTGTGGAGCATGGAGGTAGACCCAATTCTGTATCTATGTTATCTACTAAACGAACAGTTTGTTTCCCCAGGACTTTTCCAGCTTAATACGTATAACCATTATTTATAACGAGATAGTTTAACAAACTAAAACCTTAGTTTGTTAAACTATCTTATAAGTTGCACTTATATTACAATATAAAATACCTATGCTTAACCTATGTAAAAAATAATGTAAAACAAAACTATGTATTGTACTTTTACGGGTAAAATGTACCTACATAGCATGAGCTATCTATAACTATTTTTAATACAACTTATTTCAATTGATACATCAAAAATAATCTCCATCTACTATTTAGCATTTAAATTAAAACTTACTAATGTAATATTTGGGTTATAATTCCTGCAATAGGGTATCATTTATACAAAATAGCAGTGTTTAGCGGGGCTCCCACTCGTTCAATGATTATCTCTATAATCCGACCGAGGAAGGGGGCGGCGGAGCCGGGGGGTTTGCGGCCTTGCACGTGCCAATCCGCACGTCAGTCTCTTGTTTGACGCTTAACGTCTGCAGTGTGAATTGTGCGCTCTCACTAAAATCATGACAGCGCCACGTAAACATACAATATTAACTTTAAAAGACAAATTACGAGTTATAGACATGTTAGATAAAGGTGACAACTATGCTAAAATTGTTGAAACATTTGGCATAGGCAGGTCGACTGTAAGCGACATCAAGAGGAAAAAAGACAAAATCTTGAAGTTTATGAACCTTAAAGAACGCGGAGACGGAGTACGAAAAACACTAAAGACATCGGGAAACCCCATTTTGGAAGACGCTTTGTATACGTGGCTTTTGCAACAAAGGCGATTACAGGTCCCTATAACTGGGCAGATGATTTGTGACAAAGCTCGTACTCTTCATCGTGAAATAACAAACTCAAATATCCCGTTTAAAGCGAGCCCGGGTTGGTTAGACAAATTCAAAAAACGTCACGGAATAAATTCTTTAAGAATGGTTCGTCGACTATCAGACGATGAAGCCACTATAGAACCATTCCAAATAGACCTACAGAAAGTGATCACTGAAAACCCAGATATTCTTTTGACTAACTGTTGGACCGATGTTACAACATGCTTATTTAACAAATCTGGGAAGAGTATGCAACCCCGTCCTGAAAATTCCGATGACCTAGAAAATAATGTTCCGTTGCACCAGGTTTTTATAAATTTGAAGCGCCTTAATGATTCTCAAATAAGTGAAATAGAATTTCAAGAGTGGGATACTTCTTGTGCAGAAAAAGAAATAAGTAGATGTGACGTGTTATCTAATGAAAAGAGTGCGCAAATACCTTTGTGTGAGGACGTTGAACAAGATAACGACAATAGGGTAGAAACTCTCGCCTCTGAAAAAGTTAGTAATTCAGAGGCAGTAAGAGCTTTAAATACTGCCTTAATATGGGCTGAGGATAACAAATTTGATATGCACGAAATTATATTTCTTCGTCAACTTAGAGACAGGGCTTTAAGAATAAAGTGTGAAAAGTAGCATCAGAAGAGTATCACGGATTTTCTCAAGAAGATTTCATAATTTTTAGGCGCTTGTTTATTAATAAAAGAAACACACCGTGTTTAATTACTAATCAATGTTGATTTTGACATTACCATTTTATAATCGGTATGCCCCGATAACGCGCAAAGAGAAGAGAAAGAACCTCCGGATTAACGGGGTTCTACTGTAATTCCTTAATGCATAATAAATGACGACAAAATAATAATAAAGACAAATATTGCTTAACTAAATAGGGGTAAAGCTCCCATTTTATTTAAGGATGAGAGTGGCGCATCCAGGATCTTGGTTTAGGGGGGACCCAAAAATTATTATTTACGTACCTATGTATAATATATTTTGCGCATATGCGGTAAACAAAGAGAGGATAGGATTCCCATATTTACACAAACTAAGTTAATTATATTGTGTACACAAATACTAAGCATAATTTTAAAAATGATCAATAATTAATTATGAGCTCGGGCTACGCTTGCTTTTTCGAAGGACTGTTTGAAAGTTTTCTTGGTAAAGCGTGATACGAATAGGAATAATATAACACACGAACCTCACTACTGTAACATATATATGATATAAGTATGTAATATATGATTTGTGGAACAAACTAATTTGAATTATAGAGTTTTGCACTCAACAATAAATTCCAAGCAAACGCATTAACATGAGACAATTAGTAGTACATAATTCTATTCATTGTATACTCCTGAAATACTATAGAGCCTTTATTGCCCTGTTAGATATACAGATGTAACATTTTAAAATTTATTACTGTTGACTTAAAAAAACACTTATTTAATGTCTTCCTTTTACTTTTCATAATAGAATAATAATCACAAATAAAACTACAAACTCAATCTACATATACTTTATTAACAGTCTTAGATTTCTAAATTATTCATCTACAGCGGGAACCATCTTTGTGCACCGTCCAACCTTATCACCTCACCATTTAACATTGGGTTCTCTATAATGCTAGTAACTAAATGCGCAAACTCTTCTGGTTTACCCAATCTTGAGGGAAACGGTGTCATTCTCTTAATAAAATCTATCATTTTTTCTGGCAAATATGAGACTAGTGGAGTTTCAAAAATACCTGGAAAATGTCAAATATTGAAACTACTATTATAAAATAATATTATTTAAGTATGGTATTATTAATTGCTTTTATTGGTTTATGCTATGCCTGATCTAGGAAGTATTTTAATATGTTATAAAAAAAAGAGCACACACCTGGAGCAATGGTCATAACTCTGATTCCTTTGGGAGCTAAGTCTCTGGCAATTGGCAGGGTCATGCCAATAATAGCTGCTGTTGATGCAGCATATGCTGCTTGCCCAATATCCCCCTCCATTGCAATTGTAGATGCTGTGTTTACTATTACGCCTCGTTGTCCACCTTCAGTAGGTTCATTTTTACCCATTAAGCCAGCCGAAATCCTAATTGCGTTGAATGTGCCTATTGTGTTTACCTTGAAAAATTCATGTAGACTTATAATACATTTTACAAGAGATAAAAGTATTTTTTTTGGAAAACAACACACAGACATAACTGGAACAACTAACAGCATATTATTTTAATAAGTATTTTTATTTATAGGTAAAGTATCAAAATGATATATTTAAAAGTCTTAAGTTTTTAAAGTATTTGAAAAATGGATTATGTAATAGTATGTATAAGGAAATGTATATAATTAAATAAAAATATATAAGTATGCCAAACTTATAGAAGTAGATGATGAGTATGAGAAAAAATTCACTACAATAACAACAATGTAATAACTTACATTTATACATTTATTGAAATGTTCCAAATCTGTCATTTTGTCCTTATAAAAGTTATAGACTTGATGAGATTGGGCATATCCAGCGCAATTAACTAAATTATCCAGACGACCAAACTTTTCTTTAGTTAAGTCTACCGCTTTTTTTACATCTTCTTCAGAAGTCACCTATAACAACATTTAATTCTAAACAAAAATTACATATTAAATCTTGTTTTAGATTAGAACCCAATTGGAAAGAGTATTTTCATTATTTAACATCAAATCCTGATTCAAACAGTTATGGTACACTGTCTTAGAGAATCACTGATAGTGATGTCTGCTCACTTAGAAAATGTGCTAACAAATGCATTTTAATTATGAAATACAGTGTAAACTTTTTATAACATTATCCTTTATAATGATAAACTCCCTATAATGTTGGAGTGAGCCCAAGTTGGTTGATTTGCATTAAAACTCACATATTGAAACACTCTTTATAGCGATACGCCATTCTCTATTATGAAGAATATTTTTAGACAGTAAATATTTATTATCGGTATTATTGTTTATGTTATATTATCAGGTAACAAAAGACTTTGAAGCTAGTGGTCTAGCTTTTGTTATCCTTAACTGCCTTGTACACATGCAGTATACAATGTTTTCTCGGCATGCATTGTTTTCTCGGAAGTGATGGTCTTCGACCAAGCATACTGGGTCCCTATGATATTATCTGTCGTAAACCTACTTTAAAACTGTTAACATGGCCAGTAAATGGAAAGCGATTAGTGTAGACGAAAAAGTTTGTGTGATACGTGCGATTGAAAAGGGAGAAAAGGAGCATAATGTTTAAGCATTTATTATCTAAGACATACATACAATTCTTGTATTAAAAATTCTTGTTAATTAGTTTTTTTTTGTTCACTCCATATAACAATAACTCTCTATAACGACAAAAAATGTTGTCCCTTGAGTTTCGTTTACACTGTATTGCTAAAATTCAGTACTCACACAACCAGTAGATACAATAACATTTTCACCAATAGCATTAGCTACTTGCTGGGCTCTAGTTTCTTGAATATCGAGGATAACAACTTTACCGCCGTTCTTAGCTAAAGCCTCCACTGTGGCTTTACCAAGGCCAGAAGCTCCACCAGTCACCAAACTAACCATTCCCTAAAATTTCCAACACAAAATTAGGTTATCATATTGTTTACATACAAAAAATATATATAAATATACAAAGTCGACACCTTCATCATCTTGTACGTTATTATATGAACTCATACACTATAATTTTTGTGTTAGTATCATACAAAAGTCTTCTTAAAATTTCCAAATAGCGGCACAATTTTAGGTTAAAACGAATTCTCAGTGAACAAGAGCAAGCAACAACAAAAAAGTCACTGTCATTTAAATTAAAATGTCAATTGCCCAACTGTTGCCTTATTGATTTTTTTGACAATTGACTATAATTTTCCCAAAGCCCAAACAACATTTTCTTCATTTTCCACCATTCAAGAATAATATATTTCATATTCACGCCAAATGTATTCCAATTGAAAGTGAAAATACTTAATAAGTTGGAAAAAGGGATAAAATTCAGTTTCTTAAATCAAAAAAAAGAAAGCCAATATTTTATATACATTTGTGCTTAAGATAAAATACTTACATTGCGATGGCCAAGGTGGAACAACCGTTGTTTATATTGCCAAAGAAACGAAATGGGAGGAAACAAAATCCAATAGCCAGTCACGTTGATCACATCATCACTGTTCAGGTACCGAACTTTCTATGTCAAAACACTATTAATACTAAACGCTATCTCCGTCAATACGTAATATTTCTTATACATTTATAATATTTTAAGGGTGCTGTAGAGTCAGAATTACCTGCAAAGTATAAAAACGGTCTGTCACCAGTGTCTGAACATGTCGCCAATGGGATAATACACTCAACAATGGATGGTCTAAAATCAAATATGAAAATTAATTTACCAATAATTACTGATGTTAATGATGAAGAAAATATTGAAGGATGCACTGAAGTAAAAGCACCTCCACAGAAAAATGGCTATCAGCCCATATCTCTCAATAATAGCAGAGAGATTATTGATCTTTCACCAATTTATGAAAACTCTTCAGATGCCTGTTCCAGCCAAGGAGACTTAAGAGATGAAAGTGAGATGCAAAAAAGTTGCCGCATGTTAAATTCTGACAACAATGAGAGTGCCTGCCCGACTCCAAATAGTCTCTCTCAAACTCACTCTGAAATCAGCTTTGAAATGGGACCAATGACTGATAGCCTGAAAAATAGTGCTAAAAGGAAGAAGCGTGTCAACATTATATCAGGCATCACTGAATCTGAAAATACAGAAACTGAAGTCACTGCATTGAGAGTTGATTCAGAAGCATCACTGACTACTGACTGCTCATTATCAGAAAGCAAGGACTGCTACCTCACTATGACAGGAACTATCAAGCGGGGTAAGAAGAAAGGACAAAACGTCGATGTGAAACTAAACATCTCAAGAGAAGAGCTAGAAATAATTGAAGCATCAATTGTCGCAGATGAATTGAGTAAAATGGATGTCTCAAAGTGCTCACTGTATAATGGTCCACACATTTTCTTATTTAGCCTTTTGTGCGTGCCGTTTGTAGTCTGCATATCAGCAGGCTACTCCTTCTACATGGGAACACTGGCATGGTACAATATCTTTTCACACATTACAGATGAGTATACATGTCTCAAAAAGATGGTTTTTGCCCCCATTGTGATTTTGGCATATCCATTTCTGATTGTTGTTTTTACAATTGGTTTAGGACTATACGCGGGTATAGTACAATTGACATTTAGTGGAGCAAATTGGTGGAAGGATGTGTGTGATTTTGAGAAAGGTTTTTATGGTTGGCTTTGCAATGTACTGGGTATGTCAGAGTGTAGTCCTTACGAAGTTGTTATTCTAATGGATGTTAAACCATAATAATAGTTTCTAATAAGCAGCTTACAAGTAAGACCTGTTTGGTTTCTCTTTTAGTTGCTAAAACATTCAGTCATGTAATAATGACATTATTACATTGATATCTGATGTTCACTCAGTAAGTCTAGACACTGCCATTAAATGTTAATTTTTTGAATCTCAATGATGAATTAAGTTATTATTAGTCACTACTCAGTCATTTTTAGTGTGTAGTAATTTATTTAAGGCAAGCTTTGTAAAAGGTATGTGGAATTTGGGAGCAAATACGGAAAGGGTAAGAGAAGGATTTTTGAAGGCTTTATCTTTTGGACCTTTTAATTCAATTTCTATAAATAAGAAAGAATTTTACTGCTTATTGTATTGGTGTGTGGTGTATGTTAGAAATTATAGTTAAGTGGTGTCATACATTTCATAAGCTGTTGGAGTAATATGCAACATTCCAATTGTTCTTCCATCAAAACCTTCCTTTTTTCTAGTCAAAATATAAACATTTATATCAAATAGCATTGTTGCTATAGGTTGTATACTATGATAGTCATTTACAGAATAGAATTATATAACAATTATTATCGGCAAAATATACCAATGTTTTACCATCTAGATCACAATGCAATATTAGTTATAGTTTAACTCTATGCACAAAACGATTTACTTTCATAATGAAAATGAAAAATCTATTTATAATGCATGCTTACAAGCTAATACATGTAAACAGCTTACTGCATGAAATGATGTAATCAAGAAAAAACTGTGTTCTATTGCTTAGCAAAATTTATTGATCTCTATATTCTGCTTATGCATTTAGAGTATGGATGATTAAAATACTAGGATGTCAAAATTTTGTAACATTTATACAACATAATCACGCCTATTTATATTATATAAAGACTGACATATTCTAGTCACTATTGTGTCCATTTTCTACTAATAAAGTATTTTATAAAATAAGTTTGTTTCACTGAACATGCTAATCTAAAACAAATAAATATACAATTCAATCTATCACAATGATCTGTCTTTATTTCTCATGATGGATTTGCCTGTTTTTGGGTATCTGAAGACTGTTTGTCCTTTATTTCAATGTCTAACCTCTCTTTTGCTCTTACTATCTTAGATTGGAGATAAAAGGAACCACCTTTAGCCTTTTCATTTACGGAAAACAAATGTTCATAGTTGTTTTTCAGTTTTTCGGGATCTATTTTGTCTATGTTAAGGATTTGCATAGCCTCTTCTAAAGTAAGGCCTGATGAAGCATTTGCCGCAGCTCTTTTCGCCCCCTGGGGTCCACCACCAGCTCTCTTGGCTGCTTCTTGAGATGCAGCAATCTCTTGTTTCAAAGCCCTTGCAAAGGCTTTACCCACGACCTGTGCACCTAGCACAATAATTTGAGCTATATATTTGGCCATTTCGACAAATTAAATAACACTTGTGTAATATCTGTTTTCATTACTACAAATCGCAATTTACAAATTTGACATTTCGAATTCAAATTTATTGTAGAGGTTATGACTTATGAGCACAAAACTATATAATAGTCCAAAATTTAAATCATTTGATAATGTTGATTATGACAACTTTTAAAACTTCAAACAACTGTCAGCAATCGGTAAGATTTTTTAATAATAGTGGAACGCCTTGTAATTTTTTTACAAAAATACTGTTAAATAATATTAAGATAAAAATTGTCTTTTAAATTATTTTTTAATGGTTACGATGATAAATTCGAAAACTATTTTTTTTAATTTAAAAGACATTACAATTGACATTTTATGCAAGTGACGGACGTACATAAGTTACTTAAACACTCAAACGTTGAAGTTGTCAATAATAATTTTGACATAATATTAATGATTTGTGATGCTCACGCTTGACTATTGTTGCATTTTAATTCGCGTGGTGCAAATTTCATCATCATTCTCAGAAGAGCTCGATTGTGAAGAAGACGCTTAGTTTTCTACATTTCATCTCCTACCGCCGTTAAGACAAATTACCTGACGCATCCAATTAAGACATAAATATGACTCTGGGAACGTACAACAGGCACCAAGCAGAAAGAAAAAGGTTTTTATAAATTTTATATTACGATGGAGGTAGATGATGATAATTTATGTTCTAAATGTGTGTTTCGAATAACCATTTTTTCTCCAGGCAAGCGAAATTGGCGGCTGCCTTTCCTCAAGGAATAAAGTGCCAAAAATGTCTCGAATATGGACACTGGAGCTACGAATGCACAGGAAAACGCAAGGTCCTCGTTCGCCCTTCTCGTACGCAGCTGCTTAAGAAGAACTTGAAAGTTCAAGAGGACAAGTGCAGGTAACCATTCAGATTCTGGAAAGTTCCATTTCAGTCTACCTACACCATTTAATATTTACATACCTACCCTCAATGGTAGCTAATGTCATATGTGTAATTTCTTTTAGCAAATTTGTTTATTATTGCATTACAGTAACACCAAACTTTATTTATTAAAAATTAATTTGTTTTGTAGCAACGGCAAGTGCAAATTACCTTCCAAAAAGAAGCGTTACTCAGACTGCCAGGACTGCTCAGATGATGACTCTTCATCATCAGACTCCTCATCCGACAGTTCATCTTCAGACAGTGAATCAGGTAGCAGCAGTGAGTCAGACAGTGAGAGTGGAAGCAGCAGTGGCTCGGAATCTGAATCTGATAGTGACTAGGTATTGTAAGTTAATATAATAACTATGCTACGCAATGTTTTGTTTGAACCCAACATTTCTTTACAGCTTTCTATATTTATTTTAATTGCATGTATTCTGGATTTCTTTTAAGAATTTGATTTCATTTTCAACCTAACATATCAATATTTTTGCAAATTAATTTAGACAAGTATTTGTAGTCTTTCCTTGTCTATTCTTATTTTATTATCTTTTTTTGTTTAATTTTAATTGTCAAACTTTGTTTCTAGTTTCTATAAATTCATTTCAAATAGACATTGCTGCTGGTTTTAAAAAATGCTGGTCATTTAGAAGAGGGTATATTTTTATTTTTATGGACCTATGATCTTATGTGTTTCGGTTTAATGTGTTAATTGTTGTGACCTGATTTATATTCTTAATTTTATTCTTATGAATTAATTTGAAGCGAGACATCCTTATAGCAATTATTTTAATAAATAGTTGAGAATAGACAAAGTCTTACGTCATAAGAATAAAACTTGAAAATAATATGTGATGTATTTTTTAAATGTTTATAATTATAATATGTCTCATGTCAATAATGTGAATGTGAGACATAAAAAAACAATCACTAATATTCCAGAAGTTAAATTTATACAGTTTTTTTGTGATACTTACAAATTTTAATGAAATTTTGGTTAGACTACCTTCATATTTTGAAAATGCTTTTGTGAAAAAATTTAAATAATTTTTGATATTATTGATTGTTTTTAGAGTAAAACTCTGTATGAATAGAGAGGCTTTGTAATTAATGCGTATTCTCTTGATTATTATTATGGACTGTATGTGTAAATGTTTTAAGATAATTAAATGTAATTTTAGTCTTAACAATTAAAATTTGAATATAAAATAAAAATTAAGAATGACTATATAATATATATTGTGTTATTTTTTATAATTAAACATTTGAGGTAGATGGTTGAGTAGGGACAAGCTTTATTTGATTAAAGGAGAAATGCACCAGCCTTTTATTTTATATCATCTTTTATTAATGTTATAAATTAAACAAATACTCATTTCAAGTATTATTAAAATAATCCTGTTTGTTTTAAAAACTAATAGTTTTAAATGAAACCACTTAGAATTAAAATCATATTGTATTCAACATATTTAATATAAAAACACATCAGAATTCTGCAACATTTTTCATCCTGCAAAAACATTAAATACCACATTTATATAAGGCACATAAACATGTTTTAATGGAGGTAGGTGAAAAAATGTGATTGAAGAATAAAATAATTTACATATTTTTTTGACTGTGTAATTCATAGAAGACTTAAATTCAAACAAAGTTTTTCAGTGAAAAACTGTGATGTGCTCATAATTGTTAATATAGAATTATTGTTTGTACATATTAGGCGGTTACTTAAAATTACTGGCACAAGTCAGACCTCTTAGTTTATAGTCCACTAAAATTATTGAAGGATTTGATATCAGACGTGAGACAGGTGGGTTGTGAAATTACTGAAAGTCTTATTACAATCACATAATAATTAACCTTATGAGCATTGCAAATGCGGTCTTATAACAAACACAAAACAATAAAAAGACAAATAAAATAAATGATTAATTAATTTCATGCACTACTTGGTACATCTGGCAACACATGTACAATAACTTTTCGTTTTGCATCATAGCTGAATTTGTTGAGTTTAAATATCCGACTATCGTAGAAGGGTTTCAGGTCTGTGATATTGATCTGCCTCGCTCGTTCCAAGAGATCTCTTTCCGATATCTCTATAGTGGATTGGGAATAGTTGTGAAGCCCTCGCATGTATGCCAGCTGGTCTATCGTCAGCTGCCGCAGAATGTAGTATAGAAGTTCACTGTGATCTTTCTTGTAGGATAAGTATTTTTGAAAGGTCTAAAAAAAAAAAATTCTTTAAACATGTAAATGGCTTCAATAGATGATCATTGCTTTCATCTGTATGTCCTCAAGCTCAAAACCAGGCCGTATTGGGCTTAATCATGATGAATGCAATTCAAAAATAAAAACACTACTTACTTGTCTCATAGCGCGCATGACACTGTACTTCTGCGTTTCAACAAAGCTCTCCAGCATGGTGCGAATAGCCAGGTTCACGTCTTCCTCGTTGACCTGGCCGCGTAGGTGCATACGCGCATGCGCCTCACTCATGCGTATCACTGGAAGATATTATTTAATTATTACGAGGAAAGAATGAAAAAGAAAGTGTTAATTTAAAAAAATGTTTTGCACTCCTGCAACAAGAGATATTTTACGTATTTCTTAGGCCTTGTTGAAGTACTGTGGTTCATCTTACCAGATTCAATATGCCTCACTGTGATGGGCAAACTGCCGGTTGCTAGGGACTCTTGACGTAGCTGACTGTACATCTTTGCTACTTTATCTTGATCCATATTCTAAAAACAAAGGTATAGATAAGAATAACAATTTTTAATTTAACAAGGTAAATAATAATAAATGTTATGAAAAATTATGGGAGAATTCCGACTACCTACATATTATATAGGAAGTTTGAATTGCTTTTTACTATTTAAAAATTTTAAGTGGGTATTTATATTTAATTATTGGGATCTATTGTCGTAATAAAAATTAGTTTCCATGCCTACAAATAAGGACATAAACTCAGAATTGGTTTAAATTGCATTTGTGTGAAGATGACTTTTGACAGGGCTATAGTGCCTAAAAATTATATGTAAATACATTGAATTGCCTCGTTGAACTAGTGCTTACACGGATAAAGATAACTGGGTCCCGGGTTTGAAATCAGGTCAGGTGAAATGTCACTTTGATATATGTATTTTTTTAAGAATATTTCGAATTCCAGCCGGGAGTTTGGGAGAAGGTACTGCTTCACAGAGCACCGGTTACTAATTTAGTGACTGTAGTACTTAAAGCCCACCGACCCGCATTGGAGCAGCGTTGTAGATCCGCTTTCTTAAAACGCTCTCATTTAAAAGATCTGTACGTCTTTTGAGAAAAATGACATAATGAAGAAGTTTGCATGGACCAAAAATTTGATCAGACTTTTCTGACGTATATTAATTACATACCCTCTTAGGAGAACCTAGTCCCAGCACTGGGAAACGCATTGGATTGATGATACATTAACATTATTCACCTGTAATTTGGGATGTATATTCTCCCTAGCGTAAACTATATATTTCTTCAGTAGATCTTGTGGTAATGTGATGTCATTTTCGTTTGTTTCCTCTAACGTTGTACCGCGCTGGGTAGGGTGGTGTCTTATATGCGAACTCACTACGAACCTGCACAAGTTAAACAATATATTATTAAAGCCTTTTTAAGGGTTTTGAATTGTAGAATAAAATACACCGATGAACGTCATAAAACTAAAGAATGTAACTTTACATTGTAACCAGTTCTCAAATCAAAGGCGTCGAACGAACGAGAAGAACTGGCAATAAACTCCCCATCACTCCTTTTATCGCCAAGTTTCATTTTACAGTATTCATGTTCTTTTAGTGCACTACATATTTTTTCTTGTTAGCGGGTTACTCCACACCCCAAGCAAAAAGAAAAATAAAATCATGCATACTTAGCTAAATGCGCATCCTGCATGGGATCAGCTTCATCTCTAACCACGCAGAGGACATCAAATCGAGACAATATCGGCTCCGAGAGATTCACGTTCTCGCTAAATGTGAGCGAGGCGTCGTAGCGACCGCCGATTGGATTGGACGCTGCGATTATTGAGCACCTGCAAGAATAAAAGGCCGGGTGATCAGTACACAACATTTGCTGATCATATCACCCAATAGATGTAGGATACAACTCCGAATAGCCATTCAGGATACCATGTTTTAGGCACACCCTGTCGTCTTTTTAACGAGGTTAGTAAAATGGTAGCAACGTAAGTCCTATCAACGGATCGTAACATGTTTCAAGTCAATTTATAATTTTCGTTAAGCTTCATCTGGATATTAAAAGGTTAATAGGAATATAAAAATAAAAATTGGTCAACAGCCCATGTCACAGGTAAAATACACCAGCAAATATTTCACTTGATGAACCATCTCCCCTTAAACCCCATGCTTGACTGTATTTCTCTATATAACCGGTTATAACATGTTAGAACCGGTGGAGATCGAACCCACGACCCGTTGCCATATATTGCTACGATTAGACCAACAAACCTGTCAATTCAATTGGTGTCCCAAAAAAAACAGTAATAATAAAATTTCCCCAGGATTAGAATACCGGATCTCTAATTGTTGAAGATCTTGTTTTTCTTTTATTTACAATATTGCATTTCCTTAACGCTTTTAACGGTTTAAAACACGAAATATATTAGTTAACTTAGCTACAGCAAAATATCCGAAGTGTTGCACTGTAGTAAAAAAGAGTTAACTAATCTTTTTTGTGTTTTAAACCGTTAGTTAAACCCCTTTTTTCATATTTTTGCTTTATTTATTTATAAAAAAAAAAAAAAAAATAAGAAACTTAGACGAGTGCTGGAAAGTATGTGATATATATTTAAATTTTTTCTTATTTAATTTTACTACATGATGATCAGTATGAGAGATTATGTATTACTGGCACCTCACCTGGCATGCAAGGAAGTGACAATGCCCGCCTTAGATATGGATATCGACTGCTGTTCCATGGCCTCGTGGATGGAAGTCCTGTCCTGGTCGTTCATTTTGTCGAACTCGTCTATCAGGCACACGCCTCTATCGGCTAATACTAGGGCGCCGGCTTCCAATGTCCAATCTCTGTGATATTTTATTATATGTTGTGTCAAGCTTATCACAATATTTTAAAGACTAACACAGACAGACAGTAGAAAGATTGATAATTATTTGTAACTGGGAAGTTTGTTGTCACTTTATGTGGTAAAATTAAGTTAATTTTGCATATTTTCGTTCTTAGTTATCTATAATTTAGATAGAAATTGATTACATATCAAATTTCTCGATTCCAGAATAATTTTAATTTAACGTTTTATTTTTAATGTTCATTTAAAATGTATAATATTTACATAGCAAAGTACTTACAACTCATTAAAATCCATAGCAGTGAAATAAAACAATAAAGAATAAAATCTTCATATTTAAAATAATATCTAATATGTGTGTATTTAAAAGTATAACATAAGTAAATATCTACTGATTGCAGTTTAGGCGAGTAATACACATTTAAATAAAACTTTTAACTGGTTAAAATGCGGAATATATGAGAAGTAGTTATTTATTTTTGAGTACGACCCGACATTTAAGATGCCAGAGCCACGGTCATGGTCACCTGCTGAGTACGACCAAACACTACATAAATATTATATAAAGATGTTATTTTATAAATAAAAAATATGTATAAATTGCTTGTTAATTTATTACATATAACAATGGGTAATATAATCAATAGTTAGCTAATAAACTACACTTTTTGATTAAAATCCGTTTTGCCTTAAAAGGGCCTTTTTTTCCCCCTTTTTTTTTCCTGGCCCCCAAAAAGGGGGGGGGTTTCCCCAAAAGCCCCACAAAAATTTTTTTTTTTTTTTTTTTTTTCTCCTCCCCCACATCCCCCCACCAAAAAAAAAGGGGTTGGGGTAGAAAAAATTTTTAAAAATTTTTTTTTTCCCCCGGGGGGGGGGGGGGGGGGGGGGGTTTTTTTGGGGGGGGGGGGGGGGGGGGGGGGGGGGGAAGCAACCCCCCCCTTTTTTTCCCCCCCTCCCCCCCCCCCGCGGGGGGGGGGTGTGGTTGTTTTTGGGTTTTTGGGGTTTTTTTTTTGTTTTTTTTTTTTTTTTTTTTTTTTTTTTTTTTTTTTTTTTTTTTGTATTTTTTTGAAATTTTTTAAACATTACCTGGTAGTGGGATTCTTCCTAACATAGGCAGTAAGACCTACAGCGCTAGCACCTTGCCCCGTTGTAAATATTGCCCTTGGGGCTATCTGCAATGAAATTAATTAATTTAATTGTCTGTTAACGGGAATAGTGCATAAAACATTTAACGGTTTAAAACGTGAAATAAATCCGCCCCATGACCGTAGTAGATGTAAAGCATTCGTAACGTCTGCTCGTAGTTAAAAAAGTAATAATATATTCGCATTGTAAACCGTTAAGAGTGTCTTATTTCAATTATGTATTGTTTTGTTTTCTGATTTCTCACCTTTTCGGTATATTTTAAAAATTGAGATTTAGCTGTACCGGGATCTCCGCAAATGAGTACATTTATATCACCGCGTACTTTGTGTTTTTCACCTGAAAATAGCACGGAGAACATAAACTTGGGTACATATTTCACATTATTCTTTCTATACAGCAAGAAAAAATCTAGCACAGGAAGATCCCAATGCACGAAGAAATAAAGACATTGAATAAAATTGACCGTGTAAAACCGTGATATTGTGATAGAAATTGGTTTATATAGAATACTTAATGAAATAGTTAAAAAGGCTACACATATCACTTTATAATCAAATACAACCTCCATTTGGACGCTTTTAAACAGCTGTCTCCCCATTACAAGTTTTATATACAGATAAAACTTAGTTACTTATAGCCTTTATACATAGTGTTCTTTGTTAAAAATGGCAAAAAATATGGAATTAAAATTTTTTAATCAACGTCAATTCTTCTCACTGGAATCGGGTCTGTTTAAGTTTTAAGACATATTTCGTAAAAAAAATTACCAGGATTTTTAGGCTCCCCTCCAAACAATGCTAAAGCCAGCCCCCTCTTAATGTAATCATGGCCATATATAGATGGCGCAATGCTTTGCACAATCCGTTCGCCGATCTGCGGATCTTTCGACAATTTTATTATGTTTGCTACATCTTCATCGGTAAGAGATTCAACTATGTGTTTGCAGTCCTTCACTACTATGTAGTTGGCTATTATCACTGTCGCAAAGACTGGAAAGCCCTGAAAATTAAAAAAAAAGATCATTGTAAATTCAAAGTCACTTTTAAGTCGAAGTCAGAAGTCAAAAATCATTTATTCACGTATGCACGTCACAAAACTAAATAACTTTCTCAAATCAAGGAAGTCGAAGGAACGAGAAAAACTGGCAAGAAACTCGCCGTCACTCCTTTTATCGCCAAGTTTCATTTTACATTCTTCAGACACACTACATATTTATTCTTGCTAGATCGGGTTCCTCCACACCCCAAGCATTTTTACCATGAAAATATTTATTAACGTCATAATAACACAGTTTTTTAACGGTGGAGAACGCGACTTAGAGTTAAGCTAATATATTTCGTATTTTACATGGTTAAGTGTAATTATTAAAATATGTACTTTAAACTATTGTTATCATTGTAATTGTGAGCAATAACTCAATGTTTGGGTTTCTGTATTAGCTTTTCTTCAAACGATAGAGGTAAGTCGACGTTTTTAGTGAATATATATTAAATATATCATATTTCCTTAACATTCTCAACTTTATTTATTAACCAATAATGTTCATAAGTTGTTATGTGCATAATTTATAAGTAGGTATTTACATATAAATGTTATTAATACCTGTTCAGTATTCAATGATCCGTCATAATTATTGGTATAGATGCCAGTAAGATCCACTTCATCACCAGGCTTGCAACGGTCACACAGGTCAGCCAACAGAATACAATCTTTACTCCTCGGTATACGACCTGCTGGTATCCTGCCTGGGGATTCTTGAATTGTCACCTTTTGGTAGTTACGGTAGACTGTTTGTTCCATGTTGACCTATTTCATGGAGTTAAGACAAATGTATTAAGAAAGTTGTTTCAACATATAAAATTTCCACAACTGGGGACTGCCTCTTCTTTTGTTGATTTTGTCTTTAGACTGCTTTATCTTTTGTTACCTTCTTTTCAATTCCCATAATTTTCTGAACGTTAAGATCAGCATCGCATGCTTTTATTTCACAATATAATCCCTTGTTGATTTACTTTTAATACTACTAAACTTATTAGGTTCAAAAAAGTTTCTGTTTCAATTCATTTTACAATTATTGTCTATTTACAAAGCGTTGTGATCAAATATGTCACAAATATTAATGAAAAAGAACGGGACCTCATTGCAATCATCCTTTGAGTATCTCTTTCTATCCCAATTAACCAGATTTCACGGTTATATGTTATAATGCTCACCATAAATGGTCCAGCACTCTGACATTCCGGACAGGACCCAGGCTTAACTTCTGAATTCTGTGACTGCACAAATGGCCCCAGTATATACCCACACCTATTACAGTCATATTTGACTACAGACAGCTGGGGTAGGACTCCAGTGGTGGCGGTTATCACCCCTACAGTCCTAACAAGTTGGTTCAAGTGAAGTTTCCTGAATGTTCTTAACTCTTCTATCAATGGCAGATCAGCAATCCTAACATGAATCTCTGAAGTAACTCTCTCATAGCTAGGAAAGATTTGTAGGACAATCTCTTTAGCTACTTCATCAAATATTTGCAGCATTTGGAATGGCGCTTCTGGTAGGAAGTAAGCTAAGACCTGAAGACAATAATTAATATGTATGTCATAATTTTACTCAAGTTAACAAGCTTTCTATAAAGAATCTCGTATTAATGATTAAGAACTCTCAACTAGACTCATGTTTCTAAGTTACCTGCTCTCGCTTGGCAAGGCAATCAAATTCCACATGGAAAGAAGCCTGATTGTGTTCGCACATACGACGAATGCGCTCCTTGTAAACATACTGGCCTTTGCTGTTAGTGTAGGTGCGGAGGAAGTTTTTAAATCTGCAATACACATTGTTCAAGTTTATGAGAGGTTTTTTTTTCTAACAACTGACAGACAAGCGTGAAGTTCACTTGATGAAAACTGAAACATTCCAACCATATAACATCTAAACAATGTGTTCATCCTATTTTGGCTTAGGACATTCAAAAATCATACTGAAACACATATATACTTCACTTAATGTACGATCAACAAGAGTTCAAATCTTGCCTGTGACAAGTTTTCCTTTCCTAATACATACTTACTATTTATGAGGGAATGTTCTTGATACTTGAATATCTAAAATGTGGTAGATACATTTCTTTGCATTGATTAATTTAATTACAGTAGTTGAGTTGTGATTTAAACTATGCTTGTCCTTACCAAATTTCTTAACATGGTTAACTACTTAGCTATGCAGACAGATATAAGATAACTATCTACCTGTTGGCAATTTCTGTTCTTGGTCCCAACATGGATACCCATTCCTTAGTTGTGTAACCCTTGGTGTCTTCCAAGTTTTCAATACTCTCAATGCCTTCCTCAACTTGTTCATCAGCGCCTGTTGCAGCCTTTTCCGCTGCTCGGCGGCGTTTTGCTCTGGGCGCGTCTCCGCTTTCCTCATCAGAATCATCTATAGTATATTAACTCTTTCAGAAAGAGTTGTTAGCAAGTACAGTCTGTAGAGACCACTGCCGTTTCAAATAATTATAAGTGTTTTATTTAATATTGCCATAGTCAACAAAACATGAAATATTGTTTGTTTATTTTATCCTTTACTAAGTTAAAAATCATTTTCAATAAGTTAAACTAATATATCGCGTTCTAAACCGTTAAAGTGTTTTATTTAAATGTGTACTACTCGCGTAAAAGAGTATTTAGTAAAATATAAACAAAACTTTATATATTTAACTAATAAAATTTTGTTTGTTGATTTGATGTAGAAAATTACATCTGTCTTACCATACAATAGTCCTCTATCATCTCTTCTTATCCTGCCTTCATCTCTGTCCCTTCTCTGCAACTCCCTCTCAGCAGCCACTCGGTCCCCAACAGACATAGCTTCATAGTCGTCATCATCAAGATCTTCAGCATCATATCTATCCAATCCTGGCATTGGACGGTAATCTCTAAAATTTTAAGGTGACAATATATGAAAGGATTACTTTTAAACAGGTTACAATGTAAGAAGAAAAAAGTTAATTAGCATTAAGATACATTTGTAAATTAAGATTGGATTTCTTATGCAACAATCAAGATCAATTGTGAAATGAGTTGACACTATGATAACTAATTTATTCTTACCACAAAAAAAGGGTTAAGAATAAAAGGTATCATTTTGTTTTATTCTTATCAATTCTTTTTTTTTTCAACTCTAAATAATATACTTACGCTTCCATATTGTCATTAAATAATTCCTCTCCATCATCCTCTTCTTCGTCAATGGGGTGGTCACCAAGAATGGCTCCTTCATCCTCAAACATTTCATAATCGCGGGCTGGCGAGGTCATACGTGATCGGGCATCATCACGGTCTGATGGAGTGTCAGGTATTGGGGAACTCTAAATATTTTAAGCCATTATTAATTACTCGTGAATTGCACTCCGTAATCTTAATGAATTAAATCTAATCAAGCAGAAGCCAGTTAGTAAAAAAATGAAATAAGATCGTTCACAAATATGCATTGTCTACAAAAAAAACAGTAAACTTTAGAAAACGTTTCTTTGTGGTTAGCTTTGTGTTTTACACTACTAATTGAATATGTAACTGACCATTGTACACGAAAATTAGCAGCGCTGGCACTTTTAAATTACAGCAACGTTTGATTTAATTTGTGCTTATACAGAAATATTTAAACATAATCCAAGATACGTCAACAACATCAACAATCATCAACTTTTCGTAAAACCGGTGGTTTCGCTTTTATAAATTTTGACATATTGTCACAATGCGCGCGAAAAGTCGGGAACAGATAAAACTTGATTATTCTTAGAACAGACTGGCGGAGGTCGTCGATATTTTATACACTATCTAAAAACATAACTTCTGTATTGAAATTGAAAAGCATATTTTCAAACGTATTAAAAAAACTGTTTAATTGGGTCGTCGTAATTTGAATACCCTAAAAAGTCTTGAATTTTGTTTAGTTATGATACAACTTTAATGCACATATGCCTATAAATATAACCTACAAGTTCCTGTAAAATTTAAATTATCGTAATTTGCATATCTTAAAAAATTGTGAGCTTTATTTTGTAATAACAAAGTTTACTTCAACCAGTCATATGAAAATATACTATAAGTCTGTATTGACATTCCATTATAGTGAGTCATATTGACAGTTAACTTACGTGGAAGTGTGTGAGTGCTCGTTCTATCGTCCGTGAACTGTCAATAGTCACCTGTGTTGTGTTTTCTCAAGTCGAGACTTGTGTTTTGAAATCTTTATCAAAAGTTTCATAATTGTTATAGAAAAAAAGAACTCACGCTAAAGGGTTTGAAATGTCCACATATAATTTTGCTATAATAATATGTCGGATTGGTATTGGAGAGTGATTGCCTTGAAGGCGGCTTTCGTGTTAACATGTTTTGTTTCTTATCTGAGAGCTGATGATACGATTCAAAAATTACCTTACTGCAATCCACACACCGCTAAAGATGCACCGGCTTACGACGAGTAAGAATAATTTGAATTGATGTAAACAATATGAGGAATTAGATAGTAGCTTCTTATATAAGCCCCTATTTAATAACTTTTCTATTAAGAATACTACTTCTGCATATATTAATAAAATTTTCCTTGTAGTTATTTTGCTCTACATTTTTTTGATTTTAGATAGTTTTGTTAGATATTATATGCTAGAAAATTCTAAAGAAGTGTGGCTTAAATAATACTGAATCACCTACAAATCTGATTACTGCTGACCTTGATATATTATCTAGCAATGCAGAAATTACTTTTCCTTTTTATTGTGTACGCTTATCTAATGTTATTGGTTTTTTTAAATATATTTATTACTTTCTTATGCAATTAGAACCAATTAAAACATAACTTTATAATTTATCATATTTCAGTTGTTGAATAATTTTATAATAAAAAATGAGGCAGAATATATATAATAAAAAAATTATATTCATTTAACACTACTATATATAAACTGTGCTTGTTGAGTTAATCAATAATATCACTAATTATTATCTGTTGTAGCTTAGTCCTAGTAAGCACAATTGATGGCCGCTTGACAGCTTTCTCAACTGAAAATGGAAATAAAGCATGGACATTGGACACGGAACCCCTTCTATCATCAACTCTTCATAATGTGGAGGTATGTATTTGATGAAGTAAAAGTTATTTGCCTATCAATATTTGCGGTGATGTTCAAAAAGTGGAGAGATCAAGAGAAAGTGTGCCAAATATTCATAAGTACATTTATTTTGTCAACATAATATTATTAGGAGAGAATTGACAGGCAAGTTGTTGACCTTCTGTGCCACCCCAAACTGATAATACATATTAACATTTTATAAAATGACGTTTTATATTTCTTTGTGGGTACAAACCTATTTATAGATCAAAAACATATTTTTACTAAATTTACATTGTAGCTTACATCTGGAGGAAAATGGGTTCGGCTAGTACCTTCCCTTCGTGGTACACTGTACAGCCTCAGCGGTGACACTTTAGAACCATTGCCATTTGATGCAGACCAGTTGCTGTCATCTTCATTTAAATATTCTGATGATTTGGTTATTGCTGGTTAGTAATTTTTTTGTCTTCTTACTTAAATCTTAATTTAAGATTAATTTTATAGAAATCCAAAAGTAGCCTATATCTTTTAATACAACAACAATACAAACACTTACTATTTCACTTATAATATTAAAATAGATGCAGGTAAAGCATTATTATTTTATTTTATCAAGAACATCATTGTTATTCACACTAAATTAAATTGGATACAATTGACTGTAAATAATTTTTTGTTTTACCGTTCATGAGTCATTTGTAAGTTTCTACACAAGTTTTTGTAGACAAGTTACAAGCAATACAACATATTTTTTCTTAGCCATGGCTAAGAAAACCACTAGAAACATAATTGAATGGTCACCCAGATTTGAAAGTTGAATCTTCCATTAGATTATTATTATATAATTACAAGGTTTATTTATTGTTAATTTTCCCTTCTACATTTTGCATGTATGATATGGAGGGAACTCTGAAATTATGGCTAAATTATAACTTTGGGTAATGTTAACGTTGGTAAATACTCGCGCCATGTAGTTTTATTACGTTCAAGCGAAAAATAATGTTTTACTTTTTGTTACTATATAATCTACATTACTGTTAGCTCCCATTTAAACCATAGACTACTACTTTCCTTTTCCATATTCAGGTGCACGAGAAACTCTCTGGGTTGGCATAGAAGCACATACAGGCGCAGTTATATACGAGTGCAGTTCATCAGGCTGCAATAGCGAACAGCAGACTGCCAGCGGAGGCCGCGATGTGATCGTATTACGACGTCATTCCAGTACCGTCAGAGCCTTGGAGCCACGGACCGGAACCGAGAAGTAAACTTAAATCAGTATCACCATTAAAATGAAAATATAACAAATAAAATCGAAATCATTTATTTATGAATATAAAATTTAAAACTCTAAAATTACATTTACTACCGGTTCCATAAGTAATTTTTAAGCTACTTCAAGATAGATAGACTTATTACAATATGAAATTTGTGTACAGACGATTGTTTACCTAGTCATGGTACGCAAGCCTGCGTGGGCAAAGCCGACACGCTCTTGGCTATTTTTTATATGAATGAAATTTGGCATATTCCGATTAACGCTAAAGGTTTAGCACATGTCTTTTCTTTTGTGAACACAAAACCTTAGCTTTTATGAACATCAAAAATACTACATATTTTGCATACAACTTTAATCCCTACTTATTACTAAAGTAAATACTTATTTTACTCTATAGATGGAACTTCAGTGTTGCCGAACATCAGCTAGCACTTAGCAGAAGAGAATGCGCTGGGAAGCTAAGTCCTCCGACTCCCTTGGCAATAGCAGTGGCTTTACCGGAAGGAGTCGTTGCTGTTAGACATCCAGACTCGCACATAGAGATATGGCAACACAAGGTAAGCGTACTTTTTATATACTCGAGTATTTTAAGAAATGTAATATTTCAAATATTAGGAACACAGGAATCTGTAGATAATACGTTTTAGTACTGCTCTAATGACGAAATCCACATTTTTAGTGGGTAGTTAAAGAAATAGAAAATACTGTCTATGGTTTACGCGAGTAGTACGCATTTAAATAAAACACTTCAACGGTTTAAAACGCGTTATATTTGTTAAACTTGTTTGAAAATGATTTTTAACTTCGGCCCGACGTTTCGGATTTTGCCGTTAAAGTTAACCGTTGAAGTGATTTGTGTTTCTTTATAGTGTAAATATTTTGCACTATAAAAGGTAGCGTTAGAAATTCCGCTATATGCCTAACAGAAAGGGACAAATATATTGTTATATAAGGGACAATGGGCTCGTTGGTCCACCGGACAACAATCAACGGATCCGACATTTTTAAGTGACTAATAGCCCGCCTATCATTAAGTTCGAGGGGCACCGGGTTCGAATCATCAGGGCACATCTCATCAACTGCTGGTAAATTACATAAATATGCACAGAAACGATTTTCACATTTAATGTATCGTTTCAGCTTGAAGCTCCCGTGGCCAACATGTGGCGCATGCAAGGTGGCGTCATACAGAATATGGACGTGCTGTGGCAAGCTGCCCATGCTATCGCCGATGTCGCAAATACTAATGCCGCTCCATCGCTGTACCTTGGCATTCATAACACTCAGGTACATACATACACCACATATTTTTATCACGAAGACCTTAACTTGGGAGATGTTAAGATTATAAAAAACATTCGCGAAATCTTAAAGTTAACTCAACAACTACCCGAAATCAAATCAATACCTATAAGCAGCGAAAATGTTGGGTTGAGTCGTATTTTAAAATCAATGAACTAATTTCACGTTTAATTCCGTTAAAGGTTTTTTTTATTGAGATGGTAATAGTTACTTGGTGATATTTTGTATGTTAAGCCTTGCGGCAAGACGCTTCGAGCGCTTAAAAATAAGATTTTTACTCAAATGTATACTTCGTTAAAAACTATATTAAGATGAAGGTTTTTTTCTGTTTGTTTTTTTGTTTCTTTTTTATCTGATACTTCATTACTAAAATTTTGAACTAACTGTCAAACTCTATTTTCATAGTTTGACAGTTAGCTGCCACCTTTAGCAATGTACAATAAAGGATAGAAGCGTTTTTAAGCTAACTCCTAATATAGAAATTCTTTGATCTAGTTATACATTCAAGAAAGTGCGCTTTACGCTCAAAAACTCGAAACATCGTTAGCAACAAAACCGCTGCCATGGAAAGTGAAACAGGCCAGACCTCTGATCGGAGACGATACAGCATTACAGCCATTACCTGATGCATACCAGACTACACTGGCCATCGTCAAGGACTCCAATGTTCAGGGTAAATATAACACATTTTCATGATAAATATGAATAACTTGAATGGTGTGCTTATAAACGCAGGAATAATGGAAGTATTACTTTTTCTTTTAAATTTAATATCAAATCTCCTTAAGGGATTACTTTGTGACTAACAGTCACTATGTATCAAAATTATATGTATCTTATTTACAACGCAAAAATGTATGTTTTGGGAAAATTCATTTTAAATACTGTCTGTAGTTTACGCGAGTAGTACACATTTAAATAAAACACTTTAACGGTTTAAAACGCAAGATATATTAGCTAAACTTGTTTACAAATTATTTTTACTACTGCCCGACGTTTCGGATGCTTTGCATCAGCTGTGGTCACGGTAAAACCGTGGTATAGTTAAAGTGTTATTTCAAAAACATCCTTATAATATTATGTCCGTTATAAACAACTAGAAGAATATCCAAAGCCAAAGTAGATCGACACCGCATCTGGTGTAGATCTTATACGGCTGGGGTATTCTGCATCCTATTGTTGTTTGTTGTATCATTAAAAAAAACTAAATTATTCAGGACTTACCAAGAGTCACTTGTAGTTTGCAACTCCTAATTACAGCGAATTATCACGTGTGACTTGGTCATTACAGATAACAAAGGCTTCTTCCTGTACCTCCAAGACACCTGCGACCAAGGTGTCCAAGTGACCGAAGACTCGATTCCAAGCCCAGACATAGTTCTACCAAACAATAGTGACGACCAACCCAATCACCACCACGTGCACGTCCACGTCTATTCTCTATGGTTCTGGTGGAAGGAGGTCCTACTGATCGCGATCAGCTCAGCCCTTTTAATGAATCTGATGATATGGCCAAGGTTTTTCGCTACAAAGGTGAGACCCAGCACTCCGCTACCGATAAATCAAGAGTATATTGTTGTGGAGCGGCACTATGAGAGGCAGAACCCCGTGATGGAGTACTCTGGAAGGTATGAAAATGACTTCACTCCGCTGAGGTGCCTCGGTCGTGGTGGTTTCGGCGTTGTCTTCGAAGCGAGGAATAACATAGATCATTGTTCTTATGCTGTTAAGAGGATCACGTTGCCACGGAAGTGAGTATTTGTAGTTCAAACATTGATAAATTTGATTGTTGTAAAGTTCTTTTATTGTTTGGGGTCGGCTTGAATAATATGTTCAAAGGGCCAAATAGAGTATAACTCTATTTGATTTAAAACTTTATTAATTCTAAGCAGTGACTATTCAAATACATCTCTCTCTGCCTCTGTAGCCATTACAATTCTCTCTCTCTTTCTTTCTGTTCAAAAGCTCTGTTGCTTAGGATTAGGTTAAACGCAAAAAGTCTTGGGTTCAAACCCCAAACAAATCTTAGTGTTTTGGTCGGACAGGGCGCAGAATCAACGACTTGTAAAAGAACCAAGTAGTAAAACGGATACAGAAATGGGTTCGCCCCATGTACCATGGGGGAAACAAAATATAATATTTTATATATATATGTGTGTGTGTATAAAATATACACATCATAATATTGCAAAACACTGAAATGTTCCAGGGAATCTCGTAGAGAACGAGTTCTACGCGAAGTGAGAGCCCTCGCTAAGCTGGAGCACGAACATATAGTGAGATACTTCAATGCATGGCTCGAAGAACCGCCACCGCGCTGGCAGGAGGAACGAGACGCTTATTGGCTGCGGTAAGCGAATATTCACTAAAGGTAGTTATTAGAAGAAAGTAGACGTCCAACTTTTATTACGCCTAGTTCTTTGTAAGAGACTAGATGTGTCCGCGTAGAACAGTTATTTTGGGCGTTAAGTTTGTTTAAACAAACAAACAAACCCTTCAGCTTTATATATTAGTATAAATTGTGTGAAAGAGATATCGCTCTATTAACTTGTTTCGAGGAGACAAATAATTTATAGTGAAAGGCCTTCTATCCTAGGTTTGCTGTGTTTAGACCTTACAATATTTTTAAGTGAAAGATTTTACACAATTTTATGTCGCGTAAGACTTAAAATAATCAAAAGCAGATTTTGTATAAACACACAATAAACAGAACTGAATCCCTACTCCTAAAACCCCCATTTTATTTGTCATATTTAAAAATATGGCTATTGAAACTTTTTACGCATTGAAATATGATCTAGGGATTGATTCTAGGGAGCTTGGTGGAGCATCCCTTGGTTTAACAGAAGACTGCACTTCCCCAACTCCAAGGGGCAAGGAATCACCCAAGAAAGGCGACGAGGTCATGCTAAATATACACAAGTCGATCGATGATTGTATAGACGCACTCGACTTTGAGAAGAAACTGAGTGAACCAAAGAGGCTAAGGTTAGTTTCTGGGGAATGTGACTAAAACCGATTTTTAGAGATTGTATAGCTAGTGGAAAGGACATACCTTCTATTGTTGAAAAAGAAAATCACTTGGCATCGTATTTTTGAATAATTATTGTTTCATTAATTTTCAAAATTTTGAGAAATTCGTGTGACGGCAGCACTGCTAATAAAGCAACAGCACGCTTTTGGTCGTCTGTTCTATTTGTCATAGTAAAGTTTTCCAAGTATCATTAAAGTTACACATTATACATGATCCAAGCTACTTCTATAATCTGAATCAACCTTGTTAAAAATCTATTTTACAATACCTTTTCAGGTCACTAAGTTGCAACGACTCGTTCAGTATAATTTTTGACGAAAACGCATCGAAAGACCCTCACGTGACCACGGCCATGCCCAAGTCCATCGAAGCCACGCCCACTCCCCTGTCCCGGAAAGGCAGTGACGACGATTCATACATTGTATTTGCGAATACAGGTGATCCGTCCAAGGGCCTGTCGGAAGCTAGACAAGATATATCAAATAAACCACTAGAAAAGATTATGGAGTGTGAAGGCTACACAAAGAGTAGTAAGAAAAAGGTATTTTTTTTTTCGTAATAATAAACAATGGGAAAAAAGCCTTCAAACCATTTTGAGGGGGAAATAAATAATAGTAACAAATTTCTTTATACCTGTGGAGGTATAAAGAAATTAATAAAAAAAGAAATAAGTGGTTATAGGTTTATAGTAAAAGGAAATTTAATAAATTATAAAAAAATGTGGGTTGTTTCTTCTCCTATTTAATCTCAAACGTCAAATTTTACAGAAGGGTCACACGCGCCACTGGTCCCTGGACATGGTTGTTCGCAGCACAGACGACAATCAGCCTGAAGGCAGCAAAATGTACCTCTACATACAGATGCAGCTATGTCTGAGGGATAGTTTACACGACTGGTTGAGGAACAACAGGACATGGGAATCCCGACAGAGTAACGTACGGGTATTGACGCTTTGATTATTTAAAAAAAAACGGTTTAACACCAATTGAGAAAAGTGATTCATACTTTAATAGTAACCTAAGTTTAACTATTTCAGGATAAATTCTTATTATTATAAAGCACTAGCTGTGCCAGCAACTTTGTCCGCGTCGAATAGTTAATTAGGGCATAAAAAATTTCTTTTTGCAAATCTCATATTTAAGTAAAACACTTTAACGGTTTAAAACGCGATATATTAGTTAACAAAAGAACTAAGATATCGCGTTTTAAACCGTTAAAGTGTTTTATTTAAATGTGTAATACTCGCGTAACTATAAACAAATCTCATACTTAGAAATTATAGAAGTTACCAACAACGTCGTTCTCGTCCCGTCATTCTTGCAAGTTAATCCTAAAAGATAGGCTAATACTATCGTACATATTTATTGGTTCAATTCAATTTTGGTTGTTTGGATCAATACTTTTTCTCGTTTTTTTCGACATTTCCCGCTGTTTCTTAGTTATTATTAGTCGCATCTGGATGTTTTTAGCCTGCAGTATATAACGTTAACTGACAAGAACGTTTTTTATGTCAGTCGAATTTAATTAAAACACTTAACATGCCAGTATGCCATACAGTTATGCCAGCTAGTTATGTACTAATTTGCAGCTATGTCCACTTGGATAATAATTAAAAATGTATCCGTAATTATCTCCAGGTGCAAACCCTATTCAGCCAGATAGTTTCCGCCGTGGAGTACGTGCACCTGGCTGGGTTAATCCATCGAGATTTGAAGCCGAGCAACATTTTCTTCGCGCCCGATGGCAAGGTCAAGGTCGGGGACTTCGGCCTCGTAACTGCGATGGGTGATAACTCGCAAGATGGGGAACAGTCTGAACAAATTGATTTTCATACGCGGCACACTCATAGAGTCGGTAAGTTTTACCAGAAGTATAAGTCAGTAAACTCCTAGTATTAGATCAATAGTTAAGAATATGTACTCGTATCGTTGTCTATTTCCTTGTTGGTCTCATTTCTCGTCTGAAGACCGTGAAGTCTTTGAATTGCAAAGAGCCAGTAGTTCGTGCCTCGGAGAGGGCGTTAAACTATCTCTTGTGGTAGCGGCATTCGTTAACCTGCCCGAGTACCATAGGACATAATATAATCATGTGAAAGCTACACCATTTCAACTTCTCTAACAAAAATCTGTTTGCTAAGTGTTTAGAGCTAATAAAAGCACTTTAACGGTTCAAAACTCGAAATATATGAGTTAAACAAGTATTTGTGACCATGGCTGTGTAATAAGTTTCGCATGATGATGGCACTATATAATTTAAAAAATCGATTATAAATTGACAAAAAATAAAACGAACTTAGGACTTGAACCGGCATTCACAGCGTTCCGTGCTGTTTTACTCTTTGTTATTTCATCTTCAATTATTTTCTTAAGCTGCTAAGCTAAAGAAATTGAACCTTAATAATTGAGTGTTAATGTTGAAATTATATTGCGCGATATAAAATTAACAGGTTGGAAACAAGGTTCCGCGTTTAAATGGAAAATTGTTTTATTTAAATCTGTATTACTCGCGTAAACTACACACAGTATTTATTCAGATTTTGTTAATGTAATGTTCTCAGGGACACACCTGTACATGTCGCCAGAACAGCAGCTAGGTCTTCCCTACAGTTACAAAGTGGACATCTATTCATTGGGTTTGGTGCTATTTGAACTTCTGCACCCGTTCGGGACGGAAGCGGAGCGAGTTGCGTGCCTCTTAGGGTTGCGAAGTGGCCAGTACCCGAGGCACTTTCAACAGAGCTATCCCAATGAGGTCAGTAAACTGCTAACATTTGATTGGAGAGTGGTTATCTCATTAATTTTATTTTGAGGTATATTATTTTGTTTTGAAATATGTAATACAAAAAATCTATTTTATAGGCGGGTATACTTATAAAGCCAATGTGTAACGGTTCAAAACGCGATATATTAGTTAAACTTATTTGAAAATGATTTTTAAGTTAGCTAATATATCGTATTTAAACCGTTAAAGTGTTTTATTTAAAAGCCAACGTGTCTTATAGTACAGTTATATCAGTTCTAATTTGTATGAAGGTCTTAAAATGTTTCTTGGACCAGATTTTTTTAAAATAGAGGAGGACAGATATACATTATAGAGTTCACTGGGAGTTGAAATACCTATTTAATATCCAGATTGCCAAAGACCAGCACGTTTCATTAGACCAACGAGCCCGACGAAATAAATTATAACTACCCGTCTTTGAGATTTTTATGTATTGACTTCTCTCTCTCAATTGTAGACCGAGGTATTGAAACTGATGCTAAGCAACGACCCGAATCTGCGGCCGACAGCTAGTGGAGTCAAGGCGCGCGCGCCGCTTTACCAAGCCACAGACGAGCAATGGCATTTTACGTTGCCGACATTGGTAACTGCGTAAAATCTATAATTACAGACATTGTACAATGGTGTCTTAATTAAAATGCTTTGGCCTATTTCTCCATTCACCGAAATGAGTAAAACACTAACGGTTTAAAACGCGATATATATATATTAGTCTAACTTTTTTGATGATATAAATCGCGTTTAAAACAGTTTTATTTAACTATATAATCTTCGTGTTTGGTATGGTCACGAAGACCATGTTTTTAAAAGCACGGGTGGTTTGTTAGTTTTTGGTGGATTTAGCTTCGATAAAATTTATACAGCTTTTCTCACCCCGCCAGAAGCTATTAGATAGACTGACATTAGTTTTGTCAATCTATGTATTTCATATTTTTTGTCTTCGGTTTCATAGAGTTAAGAAGGAATATCCACATTCAGAGCTTGGTTGTCAACGGTTAGGGTAAGCCCCACTGGGACCGCTATACTAACTCATTTTAGTGAATGGAGTATTTATGTAGGAGTTATTAATATCAATAAAGAGTTATGTCCATTAATTATAAAAATAATCATACATTATTTATGTATATAAAAGTCTCATCAATCTAAAATGTCAGTTATATTGGTACCATGGTAAGTTTGTGTTTGTAGGAGTCCTATATATTACGTATATAAACTGAAGAAAAAAAAAACAATTCGCACTGTCTCTAATCGCTTCTTACTCTAGATACCACGACAAACGCAAAAACGTAATCAAGGTGTTGGAACCACGTGGTTAATCACGATTTTCTTACTAAAACACCTGACCTTCTGTTTGTCGTTGTTTAAGTTAGGCCATGCATTAAATTACCTAACTTTAGTTAATATCCAGTGTAACTATCACAATAGTCTTAGGTATTATTAAACGTCCGAAGTGCGTTAAAGCAATAAACTTATATATAAGATGACTGTATAAGACTGGTTTCTGAATGGATTATGGGTGTATTTTCTAGAAATATCAGTTCCAACAAAGTATTGAATGCTTTGTGTAGAATAAGTATGAAGTAAGATTACTTATGAAATGCTTTATGTTAAATGATAACTTTAAGTTAAAATATTTCTTACGTTTAAGTCTTTAAGTGTCATTCTTATTTCTTTGTATTATTTTTATAGTTATGTTAGCTTCAACGTATTTTTTTTGTTCCAAATAATGTTGGTTATAGTGGTACCTTAATAAATAATTGTAAGGTTTTTGGTTTTTCTATGATATTATATAGATAGTTTAACCAAATAATTCAGGCATTAAAAAAATATTCTAAGTGTTTTGGAGTGGTTTACAAACTTCATCATTGCCACCACGTTAAGGATTAGTCCTTACTAGCTGGTGCCCGCGACTTCGTCTACGCAGGATTAGGATTACGTAGTATCGCGCATTTAAACTAAATAATGTCTATCACATCATACATTACATAATTATGTGTAACTAACGTTTATGGCAGCGCACGCCAGAATAGATCGCAGAAAGGTAGGATTTTCATAACAAGCTATATATTGTACTTCCCTTAGACCAACGACTCCCTCAAAACTACATAATATGATTATTTAATACGAATCTTTCAACAAATAATATTTTATTATAACACAAGCAATATCATTTTATAATCATCACAAATATAATACTTCTAAAAACAATACTCTTGCACCACGTTTGGTGTTTTCTTTCTTAATTTATTAGGAGTATTCTTAAATATTAGAAATAATAAATTATATAAAATGTCAAATGTTAGTCAAATTTAGACCATATGATACCAGTCTAAGGTTGGTCTTTCTGGTCAACTTTTCTAAGATTAATAGAATATATATCGCAATATGTACTCTTGCTTTCTCCTAAATATATAAAAAAAAACTAGTTATAATTTTTCTGAGAAATATTGCAATTTGTCTTTTTGGGTAAAATTAGGTAAAATTTAATTGTAAAGTTAATGAGTAGGATCATATTGTTTAAGAATGCGATAATTTACACTATGTAAAAACATTAACATGAGTCAAAACAATTCATAATTCTTAATAGAAGGAACTTAAAGCTATAATCATAAAAATCATAATTCGACAATAGGATTGCTTGCAACAGTTATGGTAGAAAACTACACTCTAAGCACCATGTAAAAATAAAGTGGAATGTATAACAATTATTTTACGCTTAATTAAAAATATATGTATGTAAAGAATCATAAAATGCTTATAGCACTTTGCATATACACAAATTGTCTATAACAAAAAAGACCATGATCGTCAACTCTTATGAAAGCTGTGGCTGGTGTGGCTGTTTTGCAAAAAGCTGGGAGTTTTTCTTTCTTTAACTACCCTCAGCGCTTGCAGCACTCGCGCGGTGTCCAGCTCCTTCTCCGACGCCTTTTCGTTGTCCAGACATATCTCAGACATTCTAGCGTTAAATTGCTCTATGACTTTCACTCTGTAGTCTATTGACGAAGCCACAGGATTAGCCGTTAGCCACAGATATTCTAAGCAAGGCAATTTGCAGATATGCTGCACCTCTTCCACATCCGTTATCACGTTGCAGCTTAAATCTAAACTTTCTAACGAATATAGTCTTGAGAAACCCTGTAGTGATGTGACTTTGTTTTGCGATAGATCAATTTTAACGATATTACCAATCTTGGCGTGCCAATTCTCACATATGGAGAAATTATTCATGGACAAATTCAATACTTGTAGATCATGGAGGCAAGATATGTCGCACAGTTCGTTTAGCTTATTTGAGGAGAGATTTAGGTGTTGCAACTTTGGTACGAGTTGAATTGCCCAATCAACTTTGTTTATATTGTTGCTTGAAAAATTTATAATTGTCAGTTTTTTCCAAATCTGTAAAAATATAAAAGTTATTTGAATTCAACACTATCCCCAAAACCACAAATACCTCAGCCCTTAACAAAATATAGGGCATAAAATAAATCATGTTTTATGAAGGCCACCTTATCATCTAGTACACATGTTTGACCCGTTAACATGATACAGTTTAGAATTGATGTGAACTATTGACTCATTCCTATGATTACAATTCTATCAGTGTACAAATATATATATAGTTAAATATCTATAATATTGCAAACTATTTTATTAACATGCAAATTAATATGACTTCTCTGCCCTCCTCATTGATTTGATTCTGGTCCCTCCCACATATCCTATACATTTAAGCAAAGATGTTCTGTGGTGGTTTTTGAATGTGGTAGCATGTAGCTGTTATTATGGAGCTATTATTAATTTCTAATGGGGTCCATGTGACATATCATTGGTTAAAAAAGGGAAAGATGCTAACTTATTTCCTATTGATTCAGCAATATTATATACGAAACTGAATCATTTAATTACATACAACTTGTTAAAACCTTACCATAGAATCTGTGATACTGGATGGATCTTTATGAAGCACATCAACTAGTAAAAACTCATTGAGTGATAGCACAGTTGCTGTTAAAACTGACAGAGTGCACAGGGAAGCTCTAAGACTGCCTGAAATTGGTTTATGGAGGTCATAAATACAATCTATAGTTTAATATTAGTAGCAAAGAAAGTGGGAAATGTAAAAAAACTCTGTAAAAAAATTCTTCTTTAAATTAAATACTTATCTTATATTAATAAAGATAAAGAGAAGCTTTTCAAAAACGAATTTCAATGCCCAAAAAATTATTCTATAAGGACGAAGTCGCTGACACAGCTAGTTAAAAATATAATTGTTGAAATTGATTCTGTATAATATCAATGTGAATGTTTTGTTGAACAAACATAAAACAGTGGCAAAAGATTACAAGACTTAAAATAACTAACACATACCAACACTTTGTATACATCCCATGGGTACACCAAGTATCCTCAAATCCATCAGAGACTTGAAAGGTATGAGATCAAACTTTAAGTCATTTGGTATTATATTGCTTGTGCCAAGATGCTGGTAGCTCCCATCAACACTGAGCGAGGTAATTTGGGAACAGAAATCCAATATGTGGCTGAAGTCATACATTTGATCCTGTCTCTCCATCGATGGACAGGCCATCTTGAATCTTTCACTGATTGCATGAAGCTGAAAGATATTTTTTTATTCTTATATAATTAATGCTCAAATAACCAACCAGAAGTATTGTAAGTCTTTTAAACAAAAAAATATTAAATTATTCCAATACAATATTTAAGACAGACAGAACATCACAACCACATTGTTATTTGCATTAAGTTGTGTATCTTGTCAATGTTTTACCAGGTGCATAAAACAATATGAATCATGGTGATAACTATGTAATATAGAATATTAACTAGATGTATTGCCTATAATATGTTAAACCTTTATGATTTTTTTTTATATTGTATATTCTCTGCGTTATATGAAAATCTATATTAAACAGACAATAAATAAATACATATGGTATATTCATATGCGGTGTAGTGATTATGTATTAAACATTGCTATGTTAAGAGTATCAAATAATTGTATTCATTAGCATCAACCTATGAATTGTACTCGACCCAATATAATAAAACATCAAATAACATACATACCTCCAACGGTGTGAACTTATGTGACTTTTCATTTTGCAACATCTTGTCACCTTCTAAAAATAGTTTTTTGGCTAAATCTTGTAGTAAAAAGAATATGTCATACAAATGGAAGTCAAGGAAGTGAGCAAATTCATATGGCATGTCCACATGTAGGAGGCTGAATACATTTTTGAGGTACTCGTTCAAACCTTCGCGGCGATGTTCTATGAACTTAGGAGTCTTGTTACGGATGACCTTCTTCGGCGGAAGCAAGTCTTTTACGACGCCATAATCGCTTACAAGCTTATCGTGTAATTCTACAAAGTCACTGTAACGATGCCACACATCCCATTGTACGAAGTTTACTTTTACCACTATTTTATAATACGTTACACTGTCTTTCGTTATTGCTTCGTCTATGTTTACCGAGCTATCGTGCCTGTGATTTATAAATGACGACATTATGTCATATAAATAATCGCACACCTTCGAATATATCTTACATTAGCAATAGTAGTCAGTAACAACTATTTTTCATTTCATATTATAGGAGACAATATTGTGGATTTAAAAGATAGTTGCGTACATAATATTATAACCACGAACACTACACTCACACTGTAATTAAATTGCCTTAAACGTCACAGTGACATTAAAAGCTGTTATACACAATCAAAGAAAGTTATTTTGATATTTTTTTATATACAATGAGAGTACACGCAGCAATAGAAACAGAAATGATAAGATTAATGTATAATATTTTCCAAGATTTCAATAGATGTTCAAGTAGGATCTGATTCTGATATTTACACTGGACCAGGGACATGAAAAGTATCGAGTACATTAATATCAATATTCGATACTTTACTCGACGAGTACTCCACGATAGGTATCGTAGCAATAATAAAATAAGAAAATTGTGAGTTACTTGGTTAAAGGGTATCGGGTATCGCATAATACAGTCATATTCTATAAATGAATGGTATTTATATTTTGTTCCAAAAATCATAAACCCAGACTATCGGTATAAGTTTATTATCGATACTTTTGATTCGATACCGTACTCTACCTTGGCATAATTAAAATCTTTAAATATTCAATAAAATATTATTGTTTTCGTCACTCTTAAAAAACTTGTTTGACGTGTGACGCAGAGCTTAATGTTTTATTTATTTAAGAATACGGGAATATTGTTGTGTGTAGTGTACGCAGTGGTTTGCCAGTCGCCCCTCACTAGCTTGCTAGTTCGTGAATTAACATAATTGGATCCCAACTATATGACAGTTCTGTCACTGTCAAAGTCAACATGACTTTTCAGAATAGTAGCTAGTAAGCAATGTCAGCATTGTATAAGCAAAATTTTTATGTGCCATTATCTAAACCATAGCATATATATTGAGATCTAAAAATGTATTACATATAGCAACTGCACTCTACTACTAACTACAGTTAATAAATAAATAAAATATAACTACATTATCGTTCGTTTTTTTTAAACATTAGTTTGCTGTGAGAATAAAGCTTTCCTTTCATTTGACACATGGCTTAACGATATCTAATTTACTTATTTATAATAATTTAGGAAATCCCTTCGGACCTTTGAATATGAAATAAAAGCACTATTATATTCAAATTATATTGCACTCATAGATAATACAAAGAACTTGATAAATTTACCATATATTATTGCACAATTAAGAGGCAAAAATATTTTAAAAATTGTCTTGTTAACTAATTAAATATCAAGAATATAATATTTGTGCCGTTAATATTGTACAACAATTAATTGTGACATCCTTGGACGGAGAAGGACGATTTAAGAATTTGAGCGATATTTTTTTATAATATTAGTGTCAAATAAAATACAAATATGGTAAACATTAAATATGCATTCGTGAATATAATATTAAAAATTGCCAAAAAATGTTGTTATAGATAAAAAAGTCTTAAAAACTCAATGAATGAAAAGAACTGCTTTGCATTTTAAAAATTACAAAATAAATACCATTAAATCTTGTGTCATTCTTAATGTTAAAAATTCATATAAATTATGCAAGTTCGTTATTAAAATCGATTACCATTACTATGTCATAATACTTCTATTTACAATAAATTATTATCAGATTTTTGAACATAATATAATCACAGTTCAAAATTAACATGGCATTTTCGTTGATATTTAAAAAATAATTAAAAATTAGGATTACTTCTTATAACTAGATTTAGATACTTACGATTAAGTATAAGTCTGCATTTATGCAACTTTTGTAGTTCTCTATAGAATACTAAACATCATTAGATAAGTGTTTGTTGTCTTAGACACGCTAAGTTAACTAAAACAGACAACTTGTATTTCCGATACAAGTTTTTGCATGTGCATTTTCTGAGATAATTGCCGGTATGAATTGACTAAAATTCTTTTAATAGAGACTGACCATACGTTCGAAGATATAGATTTCTTGTGATCATTTATTCACACAAATTCTAATACCACATCACTTTTTAAGGCAACTCGAATTACTAAGTTAAATTTTATTTAATTTTCACGTCAACTATTGAAATAGTTATAGTTTTTATTTTAGTAAATTATTTAGGTCACTGTGATTTTCATACTTACCCTAGAACCTATATATATATAACTTCTTAAAGATAGACTTCGGTCTCCTATAAACGTTAAAGGTAGGTAGCGCCGTTTACAATATGGAAACGTACTATTGTTGTCTCTTTCACACGTTTTTTGTTGTTAGTTTCACATCGTTTACGAAAACGTCGAATCCGAGATGTCATCTTAGGATCTCATAGTAGTAACGTAGCGTAACGCGTTACAATGCACGCGACCTATGTCGTGTATAGGAGACCACAGCCATAAACACTAGTGAAATATACTATATAAACGGATCACTGGATCTATGATCTGATTTTCGACGGACGAACTTTCACTATAATATTTACACCCGGGTATCGACATCCGGTTCGAAGAAGACGACCTTCTTCTTGACTTTGCCCTGCGAGGCCTTAACCTCCAGTCATAAGGCCAATATCCTGACGTAGCTCTCGTGTTCGTACGAATCGGCGGACAGGCGCAGCGCTTGCTCTTGACATAAGGCCGATAATTCCTTGAGCCATTCGTCGAGGATCACAGCATTTAGTACGCAGCGGTGAATCGCCGATTTATTCCAATATGGCTCTTGGGTAAACGGCGGTAGCTGCGTTGGGGTGGGACTGTGATATTGCTGCTGCTGCGGTGACTCTGTGAATAACATAAGTAAGAATGCTGTATAGGCTAGTTGTGTCATTAGTAGACAAGTTGTGTTTAAATAAAACACTTCAACGGTTTGGAACTTATTTGGAAATGTTTTTACCTATGGCCCGTAACGGTATACCCATGACCGCGGCTGCTGCCAAGCATCCGAATCATCCGTAGTTAAAATAAGTTTAACTAATATATATTGCGTTTCAATCCGTTTAAGTGTTTTATTTAAATGTGCACTACTCGCGTAAACTACCGACAGTTATTATATTTTGTGCCTTTTTTACTCGATTTTTCTTACAAGTAGTTGATCAGCCTCCTGTTAAACATAATCTGGTGTTTTCCTGGCATTTGAACCCAGGGCCTATTGCCATTAACAGAGTCGGTGACCGGTATTAATTGCTGTGAATACTAAAATTCACTTACGTGGCGTCTTCCTAGCGAACATGTTGCTGAGACTGGTTGATAAACTTCTTCGTTTCGGCTCAGTCCTACGAAAGGAGTTGTCTGCATTTTGCGAATTTTGCTTCTGCGCTCTTCCTGAAATAAATAATAATGGAGTTAATATTTTAAAAATAGAAAAAAGAAAACACCATAAAATACAATTGATCACCTACTTGACTGGATTATCGACCAGTAAAACGGACACATAAATGTATCTGCCTTGTATGAGGCTAAAACTTAGAACGAAGTGACAGAACACAGAGTAGCCTTCAATTTTTACGACTTGAGTTATTTAGAGTTTATCTACGAGAGCATAGTTATGTTAACATAATAAGAATTTTCGGTCACACAAACAATAGTTCAATTTTATTTTCCTCCTTATTGACAATCATGTTTTTTGTTATTAGGCCACTCTGCCTCTGGCGGCCTCACATGTCTTTTTCATGACAGTATCGAATAGTAAGTAGAAAGTAATGGGAAAAAGGTAATACTTTAAAACTTCATTATTTTTTACATGTTATTGCATAAGGCACTATATAATTTAGAAATCGAAAAAAAAATTTCGACTCGGGTAGGAGTCAGGACTCAGGCTTGAGTCCTAAATCTAGCTTAATTGGAAGAGCAACAGCACGGAACGCTGACGATGCCGGTTCAAGTCCTGCCCAAGTCGAAAATTTTTTCAATTTATTTTCGATTTTTAACTATAAGGTAATATTTTTATCTGAATTATATTAATTAAACTTATTTCAATATTATTTTAACTACGGCCGGGTCGGTTGCTTTGCAGCAGCCGTGGTCTCCCCACACTACAGATCTAGAGGACTCTAATATATTTCGCGTTTTAAATCGTTACTGTTTTATTTAATTATCTACTACTCGCGTAAACTACAGACAGTATTCACTTAGGTAGCTATGCAAAAATATCGCAGAAGCCCTACACAATTTACTTACTATCGTTGCTTGTAAGCGCCCGCCGTACCAAAGACAGTTCCCTCTGAATGAGAAAGACCCGAGCCCTGTCCACCAGCTCATTTATTTTGTCAAACCCCATCACAGCAGCATCTATTTCTTCCCTTAGTTTATTTAGTATCTGTAAATAATTATTTTGTAATATGATTTACTCTCAATTACTCCTACGGCTTGTTGGTCTAAGTATGGCTTATAATGAACAGGTCGTAATTTCGATTTCCACCAGGTCCAATATCATGATATAATAGTCTAGACCCATAGTAGACTGTTATATGACATCGGTTGTATGATGGTATATTTTCTAAGGTGATATATTTATAACATCCGCCGAGCCATATTACATCTACACGAGATGCGCCGTCGAAATATTTTTTTCTTTGGATGTTCGGACACAGTGAAACCGAAACGCGATTAAACTTCATGGCGTTTTCATGTCTGAATGGTGGTTCATGACCCGGACGGAATATTCGATATTTCTACCACCCATCCAATATCCAGGTTTCCAGTCATATTTCAGAAAAAAAATAGTTTAAAGATTTGACCCGGTGGGGATCGAAGCTGCGACCCCTTGATTATTCATACATTGCTACCGACAAGCCTGTCGATCAATCTGGCTAACTGACTGAATGAAAAAGCCGTAAATGTAATCGCTTTTCGGTTTGTGGATTTCTGAAAGTCCAATTGTATAAAAAGTCGACAGCGCAACTGTTTTAGATATTATATGGCTCGAGTGATGCTACGTAAATATACGTAACGAGCTGATGTAATTGTTGATATGTGAAAGGAAAACAGATATTGTACACTCCATAGTTTTCATTCTCCTTTTAGTTTTGTTGAATTGTAAAAGAAAAGAAACAATGAGAGGATAAGAAACCATTTTACCTGGTATAATGAAGGTATATTTGGTGTCAGATTAGGACACAAGAGAACAGCAGTCAACAGCGGCGAAGGAAAGGAACATAGCTTGCAGATGGCGCTAGTTACGCGGAAGTTTGTTGTTATATCCGTTTCTAGGAGAGTACCCACTTTTCGTAATAGACTGCTCAAAAGTGGACCTGAAAATACATTAATCAACTTTATTTATCATTATTAACATAATAATAAGGATTTTTTTGGGACAGTTAAATATAAATACCATGTCCATACTAATATTAAAACTGAAGAGTGTGTTTGTTTGTTTGAATTCCCTAATCTCAGGAACTACTCGTTCGAATTGACGAATTCTTTTCGTGCTGGTTAGATCATTTATTATTTTTTTCGAGGAAGGCTAAGGCTACTATAAACACATCGAGCATCAACAAATAAGAGCGAAGAAGAATTTTCCGCGGTAAATGTGGAGAAAAAGGGGAAAATTATTCTTCTTTCTCTTTGAGATTTTCCGTCGCTTGCGCGTCAACTGTTCAAAATACGCAAAAAAATAGAAGAATGATTTCTCTTTAAATAATCTAGTATCAAGTAGTAGGTAATCTAATTCATATTACCAATAAGAGTATCAGCGTTGACCCGCCAACTTCGAACCGGCGCATCACAACGGTCTATGATATCCTCCAACTCCTTTTCAAAACTCTTCCTAAAGGAATCTTCAGCGAAGCCCTCATCAGGATCTTCTTTATTCAAGAAGCTATCGTAACCGCTGCTCTCCCCGAAGGAATTTAAACTGTCATGCTCCTTTTCATCTTTCTCCTCCGTCAGAGAGTTAAGACTATGCTCCTTTTCCGAACTGTCGCTCTTTTCTGATGTCTTCAGTGTCTCGTAACCGCTAGTGCATATGGACACTAGACTATCTATCGTATGATCTAAATCCTTATCTTTCGCATTGTTGTTCGGTTCCCGTTTGGTTACTTTGTGGTATTTCGAGCTCCACTGCGCGCACGCAATGGCTCGCGTGACAATCTCGAAGCGACTGTTGCATAGATACGCGTGATAGTTGCCTATTAGGGTGTCGTTCGGGTTCTGCAAATTATATTCAATGTTTTATGTAATTTTTACTTAATTCATCTTGATTTGACATTATGCCTGTAAAATACTGTTTGTAGTTTAAGTGTACACATTTAAATAAAACACTTTTAGTGGTTTAATAAGCGAAGTATATTAATTAAACTTATTTGTGTGGGGGAGGGAGACCCTTGTGACTACGATTGCTGCAAGCATCCGACACGTCGGGCCGTAGTTAAAATAATTTGTATATAAGTTGATACATTTTGCGATTTCAACTATAAAAGTGTTAGACCTGTTATTTAATTACACATATGTAAGATTAAATACATATTTATTGAAACGTGAAAGAAGTTCACAAGGGTAGTTTTACAAATGAACTAATTTGACATAGAAGCCTGTACAAAGGTAATGTTGTAATTATGAAACCTCTAGTCTAGTGCTGCAGTTTAAAAAAAAACAGAAAATTATTGCACAGTTTGGATACATACTTACCCCATAATCAAAATTGATCTCTTGGACTAGATCGCTCAAAGCTATATCTCCTTGTACTCCGTTCACCCTGTTATTGCTTTCGAGGTTTATGTCCAAAACTTTCCTTCCCGTCGTCGCCATATCTTGTACCCACTTCTTGGTACTCTCCAATGGCCTCTGACAGCACTTTGGGGTCAAGTCCAAAAACGCATTAGACGCCAGCCTGTACAATTCGGGGTCTGACAGTTTGTGCTTCTGTGTGACCACGTGGTGACCGTTAAGCAGATATTTGAAGACCAGCTCTATCATGACGTCTTCGCAGTTGAGATCAATGAGAGTTTCCATTAGGGATAGAGTTACGAGTGACAGCTGAAAAATATACGATGTTCTATTAACATTAGAAACATAATTAGCTTTAAAGTTTTTAAGAAATATGTAAATACTTTTAATCTTCGATGAATAGAGCCCTCAAATTCCGTAAGTGAATGGTAACGAGTAAGATTATAAGGTAATTGTGTGTTGGGAAAGGACACATTTTTATTAAAATAATGATATACGCACATAATATATTTGCTTTATCATCGTCGATATCAAATTAATGTTAAATAAATATTTCCCTGCATTTATAGAAAGGATTTTTACTTTAAAACATTAATATAAGGCTATAAAATAACTTTACCTGTGAGCTACCTTCGAGTCTGGCCAGCAGAACATCGATCACCTTCACGCCGTCGTATTCGAACGTGAAAAGAAATTGTAGGACTACCCTCATTACACCTCCCGGAGTGATACATCGGATCAGAAGCTCGAAGTACGCCGTAGCGGCCGCTTGTTCGCCCGCGCCACTCTGCAACGTTTCCCCTTTCGTCTACGATCGTGGTACGGTTAGTAACTCTCATAGAATACACGGGTCTGACGGTTGAGTGACCGTGGATAGTTAAAAAAAAAGGACGTAAAACTTGTTGCGATTGGAAACATTTGGTTACATCTAGGTTATATTTTATTCACTAAAATGAATCTCTCTCTGACTACAAAACTAAATCAGCAACGATATATTACGGATGAAAAATGTAAACAAAAGGTGGTTAAGATCAATCATTAGGAGTTAATCATTTTATGACACAAGACAAACGTAAATCCCACATGCAATGAAATGTTACTCTTTTTATTTTCATGTAGTCGCTGTTTCAAAGACCTGTAGAATTCTTGAGTAAAACGCCATCTAGCTTATGTCTATGACAACACATGAAATTAATGTTTCCCACGAATTTCCCAAAGAAGCTTCTGATAGAAATGCTTCAAGATTTTCAATGCTGTTCTAATGCAGATATTGTAGTCACTCATGTCTACATTCCCAAATTCGTACTTACTTAAATAATAATAACACCATATTAAATATGCAAATTATGATGATAATAAGTAGCCATTACAATGAGCAAGCAATTGTTATAGGATGATAGATCACACACACAGTCACTAAACCGTCTCCAAAATTGCCAAATTCTATAGCCCCGCGAGTACCACGAAAGCCAACCATAACACTTCACAAAATCTTTTTTTTTCAAACTACCTACATTAACAAATGTTATATTTAAAAATTAATGGTAACTATATAATCTTTAATATCAGCGCATTCATAAAACTGATTACAAAGCAACTTTTTTGAAAAGAGCAATACCCACTTTAGATTACAAAGAGTATTGAGAAAACTATTTTGACGGTTTAAAATGCGACATATATCAGTTAAACTTATTTGAAAATTAACTATGGCCACATCCATATTCATTTCGAAGCATTCGAAAGCATGCAAGTTTAACATCTATATTTCGTGTTTTAAACCGTTAAAGAGTTTTATTTAAATTTATACTACTCGTGTAAACTACAGACAGTGTTTAATAAAAGTTTGCATAAAAATAATTTGTATTGAAATTACTGAGTTGTATGAGGAAACGATTATATAAATTTTTGGCCTGGCAAACTATGAACATTGGGCATTCCTCTTTAGAAGCAGTGAACATCGTAGCTTAGAAATAATTTTAGTATTTCACCAGCTTTCATAAACTTGTCTTATGTCTTACAACGATTTGGTATCCCATATTGAAAGATGTAAAGTATGGAAACAATACTTGTGTTATTTTTAAATGAATTAGTATTTTAGAATACATGAATGACATTACATGATACAAAGTAACGATTTGTTATTGAGTTGAAACGACACACTTGTTATAAGCATCACATGTTAGTTGCGTACCTGTAAAAGCGCCGGGCCCATAACTGGTACTAGGAAACCTTGGAGAAGTAAATCTAGCAACTGCGACCTTATCGTTGGGTGCGCCACCTGTATTTAACAGTTGAATATAGTAGGTACTACTTATTAAGTTAGATTTATAAACCTAGTTTAAGATTTATTGAAAGGGGTTCTTAAAGGGAACTGTTTGTTTGGTTGAAAACATTTATCGTAACTGGTGATTCGTCGTAAAAAAGCCTTAGGTAGCCTATTTATATAAAGAAAATTGAACGGGCGTAGAACCGTAAAGACAAAATGTAAAAACTTTCTCACTTTTTAAAACTCTTGTCAAGACATATATAGACTATATGGTCTGGTATTTAAAAGCTTGGCTCAACACAAACGAGTGTATTAAGTTCGTTAGTGAATGGTAGCGATGTATGGCTAATAATCAACGGGTTCGATCCCCACTAAGTCGAAACATGGTTGGTTTTCGTTTTCGAACGAACGAAATTGCGTCCAGGCCACAAACCACCGTCTTTAGATGAAAAAATCCATCAAATTTATTTTGGTTTCAATCTGTGATTTCCGAATATCCAAAACCCAAAATAGGTTGACATATCTTGATTTAATGTTATATGGCTATGTTATTAAGTGAACAGACACGCATGGAGATGTTAGTCTGTGCTCCACAATCGTAAAAAAAAAACTTAAATACAGATCGAATTAATATATATTAGTAACTTACCTGCGCGACAGCATTACAAAATTCTAGTGAATCAATAAACAGGGTGAGCTTGTGTACTTTGTTGACGTCATCAGGAGTGAGACGTTGGATACCTTCGCCTAATGTGCGAGGGAGAAGGGAATACAACCCACTTAAGCCTGGAACATAAGTCATTGTTTTTGGGTATTTAATATAAATTCCTTGTCAACTTTTAAACACTTATATAATTGTGTAATGTACTATAAAATATAAGACTAACGTTCTTTTGTCATATGAAATTTTGTCAAAATTTTATTACCATAAAAACAGTTCCTCTGAGTTAATATTAAAAGATAGGCAAATAGTATCTATTTACAATAAAAAAAAAAATTTTTTTTAGCTTAAAACCAAAAATGAAACAACAAACTAAAAAATAATGTTTAAAATCACACCCGTAGTTCATTCAAATAAACTCTTCTGCTTTACAATATTAGTATAACCTAGTCACAATTTTTAAAAATTTAAGATTGGGACTAGGTTACCTGTGGCCAGTATAGGACATGCGTTCCCAGCAAGCAAACATTCAGCCAGCTGTTCAGAGATCGCAGACATCTTTGCACAAAGAAGGAAGGCGTCCCGGGCCACAGACCCGCAAGAACCCTCGCGGTGCACGGACGATAACAGCAGTTGACCTATTACGAACCTGTGAAATAAAAAAAAAGCAAAATGACACAGACCTTAAATCTGGTTTCAGTATATCTCTTTCTACATCTCTTTTCATTTGTTTGCATTAATCAAGCGGTAGGAATATTAAAATTCTGTCTGGATCACAAGCCAACGTCCATGATAAGCCTTTTTAGAATTTATGAACTTAGAGCCTGGATGAATATGGGAAAGACCCTGGACCCTAGTACCTGAATCGCTAAGCCACTAGACAATACTATTTTTTTAAAATAAAACACTTTTAACGGTTTTGTTAAACTTATTAATAGGTTTAATTAATAGGTTTTAAAAGTGTTTTATTTAAATATCGTGTACTACTAGCATAAACTACAGACAGTACATCACCAATGATAATTAAATACTTACTCTGGAACCGATCCATTTTGCGTGTGAGTGGTTAAAAAGAACAAATCCACAAATTTCATGTTCTGCATTAGTGTTATACATAGTTGATTGAGGACTGCTACTAACTGACCTGTAATTATATATACTCAATTTACCCTACTTCCAAGTCAAATCTAAATCCAAAATTTGTTACATTTTACGGACTCAAATGTCGATATTATATTACGAGAGGTAACAGGAAACATATTTTTAGTTTATATGTATAAATTAAGCCCGCTAGAGGCAGAGTAGCCTAACTGCAATTTTATGACTAGGGTCATTTATGTTTCCATAGTCAAAAAATTTTTATCTTCAGCCAGTCACCGAAAATTGTAAACATAATTCTTAAACAAATAACAGTACAAATTCATCTTCGCCTAAGTTATTGGCGCAGTTTTTTTCTTCCTCATAAATTTGTTTTTTTATTTTCGTTATTAGGCCACTCTGCCTCTAGCAGCCTCAATTCAACATGTGAAAATAAAGGTTTTCTTTAAAATCCACAATACACAAGTTGTTAAAACTCACTTTCGAGATTCGGTGGTGGCAATTGATCGCGGAAACCGCTAAGCAACTTCAGAAGCGGCCTCAGGAACGGTTCAGCGGCGATGACCTACAACAAAAAAAATCATATCTTATTAAATCCATCGTATGTATACGAAAAATAAATACAGTTATAAACTTACTTGTGAGTTGTAAAAGTTTATGAGGTGTCCGAATAACCTCAATTGTTCTAATCTTAGCGCATTCTCGTATCTGAAACAAATGCCCACTTGTGTTAGAATTATTTTTTTATTGAAAAAATGGGGTTCAAACCCACGACGACGGGCACGTTGGTCTAATGGTAGGCGCCTGCAACGTATGGTTTATAATAAATGGCCTAGTTCCAATCAATCTGTTTCTAATCAATTTATATTTTTTCTATATCGGACTTTGTCTTGAAATTGGGATATTAAATTGAGTCACGAACAACGGATCATAGATAAAATAATGTGTTTAAATAAAACACTTTAACGGTTTAAAACGCGTTTTTAACTTCGGCCCGACGTTCGAATGCTTCGAAAAATCATTTCCAAAAAAGTTTAACTAATATATCGCGTTTTAAACCGTTAAAGTGTTTTATTTAAATGTGTACTACTCGCGTAAACTATACAAACTAACAGTATTTAAAACAATGTCTTATAGTTTACTCGTGTGTTTTTACTTGGTCTATGAGTTTTAGTTTAGTATAAAGCCGAGTAAGGTCCGACAGCGCATCATGTTAATGCGTTATCTGGCTAATGTATTTCACCTTTCATGAAGTGAACATCATGCATGTCTGCCATCTTTATCCTTAAAAAATATCTACAACTTACCAGCCCTTGACTTATTTAATCAATATAACAAACGTAAGGCGCTTGCATATATTTTAAACATAGTAGATAGTGTGTGAAAATAATAACGACTTATCAAAAACTAAACATTAATATAACATGCTATGTTTATAGTAAACTTCCTCACACAAAAGCAGCAATAAAGAGAAGCTTATTGTATGTTATTTTATTATTATTGTGAATATGTTAATATGATTCATACATATACAAATACTTTATCTCCAATGCCACTGTGTCATGTAGTCAATGTGTCTTTGTGTTATGCGCATTCAATTACTTTGTTATTTGATATTCTCATTTACATATATCATATTTATTTTAAGTTTGACATTAGATATAGGAAAATATTTATATTGATTGATAACTACAAATTTAAAGCATTATTTTTGTAGTCACTAAATATCTTGTAGAATTTATAATGGACACTGCATAACTAAGACCTTATGTACTAATGTATTTAACAAAAATACTGCAAATGTGAATGTTTTCCATTGAAGAATTAACCATCTGAAGTGCATAGTTTAAATATCAAAAATATACTTTCTAACTTAACGAACTTAACTTATTAAGTGGTCAATATTGATATGAAATAATACAAAGCTGAGTCAGTCTGATAAGTAACTTCATATTTGCATTGTCAATTTTATCATCAATTTGTTATCTGTCATTAAAGCAAATTATATAGGGTCAAAGCAATTTATAGTTTATTATTATATTGCTCTAATACTACTTGTATATAATCATATAATAATGTTAATACATATATTTATTTTAGATGTTTGTACAAGAAATACATAAGATCTACTATATTTCTTACACGAGGCAGTGTAGAAATAATTAAGATATTTTAATGTTTCATCTGTCCCATAAAGGCAAACTGTAGTGTAATTTCACAAGACAAAGTCATTAAAGTCATCTAGCAGGAAGTAACAAAAACTGAAGAATAAATTGATTGAGATAACACTACTATAAAAATGATTTCTGTTTTTTTTTTCTGTTAAAATTCAAATTAACATGAAGTGATCTGTTTCTCATAGCAGTTTATTATATTTGTCATTTAATCAAATCAAGGTATCCTCCAAAACATCAGAGCATATAATATCTCTCTATCTTATATCAAATAAACTAGTTGTATCACAGTAGAAGTATGCTTTTTTTCAGTGTTTATAAAAAAATCCTTGCTATGAATAAGACATAAAACAGACAATCATTTTTAACCATTAATGTGTTTCTTTTTCACCAATTTAAATAGATCATATTTTATTTCATGTCAGATTAATAAAAATGAAAAAATATTACTCACTTTCCCGTACTTATAGCCCACTCATACAATTTGTCCAAGACATTTTCGCTCAGTAAAAATTCAAAACAGGGTTGCTGGGTAGGCTTTGTGCTAAGCTCTTTTGCTCTTGCCTCTAGCACAAGTAAGGTGGTCAACTGTTCCAAATGGTTAACAACACCCAATACATCATCATGTAAATTTTGGGGCTGGAAAATGTATACTTTGTTTAAAGCTAAAGAGGAATTAGTGATCTACAATTAAAGATATATCTTTTATTATATTATAGTCACAGTAGGCCAGTAGACCAGCCACACTTCTGTTTAGATATATACTTTGGAGGTCTAAGTAAATGAAATACCTTAGATTTTATGATAATGTCATGAGCCTGTTGCCAATGCTTGCAGAATGAACTATAACAAGCTTGAGGCTCATAATCATGCTTAGGGTCCAAAGACCGTGAAAGCTGTCGGGCAAACATAGTTGATGTTTGCCGAAGCCAACTCATTGTGCGTTACATATAGACCACCTGAAACAATTATTTATTGATTAAAGACATATAGGTATTATACACTTTATGGTACCACTCATTAAAGATTGTCCAGATATAGTCTTACAATGTTGCACAAAAATTATATATCAATTTTAAAGTCATGTTGGAATAATTGAGAATCAAACCCAAGATTTGTTGAATATAAGCTATACAGAGCTATCATTAGAACAAGGAGACAATAGGAATTAACTTGCTGTCAAAGTGAACAATGATTGAGACATCATATCAATAAAATTACATGGTTCACTGACAAGACTACTGGAGCATTGTTGATCTACTGATATTCAATATGCACTTTCACTAACTGCTACATACATACATACATCAATGAAAACTTGACATTGTGTGAAACTTAATGTGAGTTCTAAGAATTTCACACAATTAATATTAACTGATCACCAATTATAACATTTAATGTCTTCAATATGTATATTTTCTCTCATAACGACTTGAATTAATTGCGTACCTTGTGACTTTAACTCATTAATACATAACGATGAACGCATCTTTAGTAAGTGAACCTTGACATTAAATTTCAAACAGTTCCACAAAGCACTTGAAAATTAATAAAATCTGTAATGTAGATAGCTGAATCGAAACGATGTACTTACATTATTATGTTTGTCGTCAAAAATAGAAGCAAAGGCCACAAAATAGACAACATAAACCATGATACGCAATACAAGACGGAATACACTTATGTCACTACTTCAAGGAAAACCTCTGAAAATCACGGTGTTTCTAAGACTATATTTCCTTTATGAAATAAAAATAATGTGAATTAACTACAAAAAAATATACTATTGTTTTATTTAAGAAACAGAAGTTACGTTTTAGTAAAACACTTACGTTTCGTAATAAAATAAACCTTCATTCATAATAATTTGTTAATTTGACAATCTTGTTTCGTAGAAATCTTGATTTCAATGACACTGACAGCTGATTGGTCATTGTTGACAGCAGGTACAAAATAGAGTTGATAGTCGCGTCACAGATTTATATTAATTTAAGGTGCTATTACGGTTACATATAATTTTTCATATTTTAAAAATATTCATTAATGAAAATAGTAAGGTATATTATTCCTTCAAAAGTAGGACAATAAAACATTATTACTTGTTAAGTTTCTATAATCATAAGGTTATGGTTATATCGTGAGTTATATTAAAAAGTATTCAATATTAAATCAATGTCTTTGTTTGATACACAATAAGTGCCAGTTAAAAAATGAAGGAACCGCAAAATAGAAATTCAATAACACATTCTAAAACAGTATCATCGTCAAAATCCGTAATTTTAACTCCGCCGCCACCCAAGCCACTTGATTTTGAAGGATTTATACCCTGGGTGTGTACAGAATTTGAAGTTCCTTACGACATCATTGTGAACCGCTTAGTTCAAGGTTTGTTGCTCACAATATCATGTAATTTTCAATTAATATAATAATTATAAATGTTTGCATTTTTTTATTTCGTCATTTTCAGAAGATTATGTGCCACAAAAAAATCCTTGGTTCTAAATCTAAGTATTTTTCCAAACAGACTGCTAAAACAAGGGCTGAAACTGACATTAAACTGTCTGACTCTGCAAAAATATTTCCTTCCGATAGTACCTTGAAGAGTTATATACCCATATCAGCCTATTACGATCCAAGAGGACGTTTGGTCGAAATCGTCATAGATAGGTCTCCATTTGAAATACCACGAAAAGTGATCGTGGCATTTTCCCTTTGTGTACCCTTTCATTCTTCGCTCACGAGAGTTTCAATAAGGAACGGTGGATTGAAGTTACCAGCACTTTACGAGATAGGCAAACTCTTATCACATTCAACTATCACTGATGTTGTCATCGAAAACTGTTTTGTCCCGGAAGGAACATACCAATTATTGTTAGAACACGTTTCCCATTTGAGAAATTTAGCCCTACGCCGCTTGTGTATAAATGATATGGCTTGTTGTAATATAGCAAAGGGACTTGAGATGGGAGAACCAGCGTCAAAAACTTTATTAACACTAGATTTAACATCAAACAAAATCACTGATGATGGTGCTAAGGCGTTCGGAGACATGCTTAGGAAAAAACGTTGTCTGTTACATTTGAATTTATGTGATAATAATCTTTCTGATGCGGGAGCTGCTTATATATTGAACTGTTTAAAATCTTTCCCCTTAACATGTCAAGAAATTCAAGATACTAAACGTCGAAGATTTGAACACTTCATAAAGAGAATTGCTGTTTATAAGAAACATGTGGAACATTTAACACGATGCCAAGGAGAAGAAAAGATTTCCAATGAGTTCGTAGATAAGAAGGGTCAAAAGAAAGTTAAGGGAGGACAGACGGTTTCTGCTGTAACTAGCGCATTATCCATTCCTCAATTAGCAGACAAATTAACGCAAGATGAAATTGGTGAATTTGTAGACGTCTTTGGATGTCATCACGTCACATATGTGAATAAAGTTATGAATTGCGATGGCAATCTACGTCTCTGCTCACTAAACTTGGCATATAATAACTTAAGTTTCTTATCTGTTCGCAAGATTTACGAAGTTCTATTGTATCAAAGGAATGTTTTTACGATATATAAACCGTCGATCACAACTGGACTTCTAAGAGTGGTTTTCGATGGTAATAATGTACCAAGTCAATGTAAAGAAGTTAGACTTATTCAGGATCTTCTTCATAAACTAGTGACGAATCGGTGTCCTTCTAAGAACGTACCTTTAAAAGCGCAGTCAAGTAACAGCGTTATGTCGAGTACAAAAACCGGCAAAACTAGTAAACCGAAAAAAAGTATTGCTCGTTAAGTTTATCTAATTTTAAAATAAGTTTGAAATGATATTTATGTTATGGTTCAAGGAACCTAAATATTTTTACGTTAAGTTCAATGGCATTTTTAGTTATTTTACTAATTAAGTTATACTTTAAATTAAGCTAATTATGAATTTCATTTCTATTTAGGCCGTATATTATAATTAAGTTGAAAAATATTTATTAAATACTATCTATAGTTTACGCGGACACATTTAAATAAATCACTTTAACGGTTTAAAACGCGAATATTAGTTAAAATTATTTTTAACTTCGGCCCGACGTTTCGGATGCTTTGCAGCAGCCGTGGTACGGGAGATAAAATGAAGTTAAAAATCATTTTCAAATAAGTTTAACTAATATATCGCGTTTTAAACCATTAAAGTGTTTTATTTAAATATTTATTAATTAAGAGGCTATCGTTATTGACTGAAAATTTAAGTTCATTAAAAAATGGGCACGCTCCTTTGTAGAAACGTACAAGAAAACAATATAATTTTTGTGTGAAATATTACGAAGTTATTAAACAATATTTATTTTCTTTATTTTCTTATAACCACTTATACGGATACAATTAACGCTACTACTACGAGATAGTTGATAGAGATGTAAATTTCTACATTAAAATATTAATAAAGTAATGTTTTTGTGTGAAAATTATTTATTATATGTGAAATAGAACAATATGATGATCTTTTTGAGTTTAGTTAGAAATACATTTATTCTCAAAATCTATTTATTTACTTAAGTAACAATGCTAATAGTGGGGGTAACTTTGCCAATATTTTTTTTTGCAGGCACAATTTTTTTTTTGCTTTATATACTTAGTTATTACGAGGAGATCATGGACTACTTGTGTGAACTTTTACGTTATTTCTGAGGTATAAAGTGAGTACCCAACTTTTATTAGATTGGCTAATACACTGCCTTTGTAAAAGATTCATATAATCGATCTTGTATTTTTTTGACACGACTAAGCATACGCAAAAAAAGCACAATTCAATATTGTAAAAACGTATACTTAATCTGTTCTTTTGTAACAAATTATGAGACAAGGATCTCATACATCTTACATACTGTATGGGAACACAAACATAAATGGGAGTGACATCGATATAAAGTCATACATCTATCCCTTATGTTTAGGAATAGATGAAGAAGGTTGAAGTATTTTTATAGGTATAACTAAGGTTTCAATCTGCAATACTTAAAGCCTATTTGAATTATGTAATCATATAATTTACTAAATTCCTTCAAGTTGAATGACAGAAACTCTAACATCAAAGGTTGACACAAAACTCAATTACATTTTGGACGTCTCATTTATATTTTTATCACTTTACACAAGAATTTGTTATATTTTTTTCTGTTTATTTATTGTTCTTATTTTTATTTACAATGAAATCTGAAAGATCAATACGTTCTATAAAGTCGACGCGTTCCTTGCGATCTTCGTTAAAAGGTCATTCTGGCAAATTGGTGACTGAGATAATAGATTTGGAAGCTGTTTTACCTGTATCGTGCGCAAAGTTTAACTGTCCCTATATCATCTTGGTGAAGAAGACTCAACAGAATGGTATGTATATGCATTTAAAAGAATTTTACAAGCTCTGAAAGTTCACATTATTGATTAAGGAGAGGATTCCTCTTCGTAGAAATTGTAATTGCAAAACGATGGTAACAAAAAGTCGATATAGTAAATCTCATGACATAATATGTATTCAAATAATATTAAAAAATATGGCCTAGAGCTTTTCATAAAACATGTAGTCGAAATAGTGGTTCTAGATGTGAGAAAGGAATCTAGAAATTACGAGACTTTCGTCAACACAGGTTCCGTCAACACTTTTAGAATGTTCATAAAGAATATTTAAATGATTTAAAAATCGAAAATAAATTGAAAAAATTTTAGACTCGGGCAGGATTTGAACCGGCATCGTCAGCTTTCTGTGCTGTTGCGCTACCGATTGAGCTACCGAGTCCTACACCTCATCATTTTTTTTAATTATATACTGCCTTCATGTGCAATAACATGTGAAAAATATTAATGTTTTCAATATTTAAATGACTGAGAATTGAACACTCTACATTTACAGTAGGTATACCAGTAATCTCTCCGGGTTTTAAATAGGTAAATCATATTAATTACCTGTAATTATGTTTTAGACGACTACTACAGAGCGCTGAAAAATCTCGATGGAACCAAAAAGCGTATAAGTATGGCACAGAGTGCAAAGCAAGAATCAGTTCATTCGATACGAGCCGATGATCAAGAAAGCACTTCGGCAGATGGCTTGTCAACGCACATCAACTCGCTCACAGTTACTTCTGTTTACGACACCTTCAATTGTTTGACTGGAATATATATAAACGAAGTGGCCCATCTGCCGAGGATTCTCATGCAAGTAATGCGATACTTGGTGCCACATTATAAAAACATAACGACAGTATCGATCACTAATTGTAAATTGGAGGCGTCCATTTTGTACGAATTGAGTAAAATTATAACAGTTTCGACTGTAGTTCACGTTCATTTGGACGGAACATCGGTAGCAGAAGCTAATTACGCGATTCTTTTGGATACGGCACATCTAAAAAGTCTAACCCTGAGCAGATGTGGTATAAATGACAATGTTTGCGGGATCTTAGCGTCAAGATTGTACTTGTCGGCTACTGGTGAAAAGTTATCGCTGTTAAATCTATCCTCTAACCACATAACCGATGTAGGGGCGAAGTCTTTAGCGGAAGCTTTGAGAACTAATCGATGTTTGCGGTATCTGAACATTGCTGATAACCACATAACCGACGACGGCGCTACGTCCATCTTAAACGTTTTAATGGAATTTCCATTGACGTCGAATGAAGTTTTAAACAAAAGAAAGAGATTTATAACGTACTTGAGAAGGAAAAACGAAATGTACCTAAAGTATCTTGCCGATGTAACGTCGGTGGAAATGTGTAAGCCCGCGAAACGGAAGAAGACTTCGGTGACTTCGGTAAAAAGTAGATCCAGCGCTCGAAAGGAGAAGGAAACCCATCAGCAGCAGCAGTCAATGTGTACAGACGATTCAATTAGAGCTAAAATGCTTACTCAGCAATTAATGGGGCCATTTCTAGACCCATTTCAATCTGATTGTTTAAAAATTCACGACGGAACAACGAATTGTCTTGGAAATATGGCATTAGCTTACTTAAATATGTCATATAATGATTTGAGCTTTATGACAATACAAACACTGAGAAATGTGGTAGATTATCAGAAGTGCTTAAAGTTAGTTGGTTATCAAACTGGATTGCTTAAAATTGTCGTTGATGGTAACAATATGCCTATCAGATGTCGCGAAATGATGTTCATTAGTGAAGTTCTGAGTGGGAAGAACCAGGAGGTTGTTAAACGAAGGAAAGCTTCGAAAATTTGTGCATAGAAATAATAAAGGACGTTTGCTTGAAATCTTTAATTATTTACAACTAAACCTTAGACGCAGTTTAGATATACATAACATTTGAACACTAGTCTTGGTAACTCTGCGTGGTTTTCTTCATGAAACACATTCTTATGAAAATACTCTAATAATATATGGCTACGAGTAAGGAAATATAGTTAAAAATACTTAATTTAACCTCAGCAGGAATACAAGGAAAATATTTCAGCACCAACGTTTTCGTTTGTCCACGTGCTGTTATGGCTATTAACTAAACTGGCAGTTATTAGTTACAATAAAACTCTTTGTTAAAATAACGAAAAAACCTTGGCCTAATATAAGATGACAATATACAGATATATGAAGTTAATGATACATTACGAAAGTCTAAATATATTCATCTCAATATTTTCTTAATAAGTTCTTTGATAAACCATACAATTAAATTAATATGGAACAATAAACGTATCATAATATATTAAATTAATTACATTGTCAATTGTCAACATATCATCCTATATTATCCAGAGTATAAAACAAGTTCATGTCTCAGAAATCATGAGCGACCGAAGTTCTTGAACAAACTAAATTGAATTAATTTCTAGCTCAGTATCAGCTCAATTTCTATATATCTAATAAAAAGGTAGGTATCTCTATATTGTAACACTCGTTAATAAATGTTTATTTAATTTCTTGGTGGCAAATATTCTCGGTTTGGTGGTTTCGGGTAGCCTGTGCTTGGGCCTTGTGGTCTTGTTGATCCAGTAGGAAAGCTAGGCCCAGATGGTCTGCCTGATGGGTAACCCTGATTGGATGATGGCCTTGATCCCGGATATCCTGGTGTTTTTTGTGATCCTGGGTAATTACCAGGGGGCCGCGTGGATGGATAGTTAGAACTTCCAGGATATGAACTGGAAGGACCTTGCTGATCATAATTGCTAGAACCCTGCCCAGGGTAGGTTGGTGTACCTTGAGTTGCAGATATTCCTGGGTAACTTGGAGTCGTACTTTGGGGGTAAGAGCTACCTGGATATCCAGAAGATGGTCCTTGGTTTCCAAAATTATCTGGGTATGGCGTTGATGGTCCGTTTAAAGGATATGAGCCTTGCGGGCTTTGGTTACCTGGGTATGATGGACCCTGAGGTCCTTGGCTACCAGGATATGCTGGTCCTTGACTACCGGGATATGTTTGACTTCCAGGGTATGATGGTCCTTGAGGTCCTTGTACGCCGGGATATGATGGTCCCTGAGGTCTTTGGTTACCAGGGTAAGAACTGAGTTGTTGAGAGCTTCCCGTTATAGAGTAATCGTATAAGTTTGCGTTTAGCTCATAAAGACTTGGCGCTGAGTTGCAGTCAAATTGATTCCACCATACGCAAACAAACACTTCTTGTGAAAAAACAGTCCCATTAGGACATAGGAAGTCATAGGTTATGTTGTTAGCACAGACATGGAAAGCTTGACAACGAGTCTCTACATCAGCGTAATACCCTGGATATAGTTGTGCTTCGCAACGGAAAGATGTCTCTGGAACTACAGCTAGGATAGGATAATCTCTGTCAGGTTCCCCAGGTATAGCCGAATAATCGCCACCTTCATAGGCCCCAGTGTCATATCCTGGCCCTATGGGTCCAATTCCTGGACCAAATCCGGGGGACCCAGGTGAGACACCGGGTGAACCTCCGAATCCTGGCGTTGTAGGACGTCCTGTTTGCCCTTGATAATTATTTCCTGGAAATCTATTGTCAGATTGTCCTTGATAACCAGGTCCGGGTTGTCCTGGATAACCAGTACCAGGCTGTCCCTGATAACTAGTTCCCGGCTGTCCTATAACTCCCGACTGTCCTGGATAACCAATTCCCGGCTGTCCGTGATAGCCAGTTCCCGGCTGCCCTGGATAACCCGATGGCCCTGTCGGCCCAGTTGGTCCTTGGTTTTGATAATCGGATCCCTGTTGCCCTGGATATGCTGAAGGGCCAGTAGGGCTTTGGCCAGGATAGTTTTGTCCCGGATAATTCGGCCCAGGCTGTCCTGGGTAATTAGCGCCAGTCGTCGGTCCTAAGGGATATGGTGTTGTACTCGGGTATTCGTCTTGGGAAGCGCTAGGATATGTTGCCGTAGAACTCGGGTAACCGCTGGAAGGAAATCCAGGTCGGCTGGAGGTACTCTGCCCGAACGGTCTTCCTGGTTTGTTGTACTCATAACCATTTTGAGCTACGGCTACTGCCAGCAACACTGAAAAGTATTTTTTACGATTAATACTTATTTCGCAAACACTTTGCCAAAAGACTATAAGCGCGAGAGTTCCTGGGTTCGAATCCCGGTAAACAGTTCATCGTTTCGGCCGGACAGAAGACCGATCAACTAATTGCTTGTAAATAAAATCTATCACTGAAACGGATACAGAAATATGTTCGCCCAATGTCTCATTGAAGGAAACAAGATTTCCCTTTTTATTTATTTTGCAAAGTAGACTCTTGCCCTACATGTGAAAATTGAACAAAAATGATTTTTAAATAAAACATTTTAACGGTTAAAAACGTGATATATTTTAGTTAAACTTGTTTGAAAGTTATTTTTAATTACGGCCCGACGTTTCGAATGCTTTACAGCAGCCCTCGTTACGGGGAGACACGGCTGTTGCAAAGCATTAATTTTCAAACAAGATTAACTAAAATATATCGTGTTTTAAACCGTTAAAGTGTTTTATTTAAATGAGTGCTACTCGCGTAAACTACAGACAAAAATGATGTTGAAAGGTAAAAATTCTGCCGACCCTATGTCATAATTATTGACCTACCTGAAGCTAACGCCGATGACTTAATTATTCACCATTTTGTTACGAGAATCGCATTACTGAGTAAATGGTGTAAGAATTAAAATGGTCTTATCTTAAGTTCTCTTTCGGATACAATGCGTCCGAGAGGTATAGATGACATCGCGTGGGACTGCCTTGCGCAAGAGCAAAGGAAATTGTTGTAATGAAGCTTCGCAAAGGAAGATAATTTAGAGTTAATTTTGTGTATATTTATGAAATAAAAACACATTTATTAATACAAACTATTAAATATTGAGTACCTACTTTTTTATTCTATGCGTGTGGTTGTCATGTAATTTAACGGTTCAAATCGCAAAGTATTTTAATTATAATCACCACAGGAATCGTTTAGATAAATAAAACGTTAAGAATTAGCTAGACAGCAAACTCTCCCAGGCAACCAAGTATATTAGTTAGCTACGACAAGACGATAGACGTTGTAAAGCATCCAATTATTGTTGGGAAGAGGAAACAAATTAATCTTTATTTCCAAAAAACAATGCTAAAATTTGGAAAGTTTAAAGCTAACATCAAGTCATTGTGTTTAATGAGTGCAAAATTTTGTTACATTGTATCTTCTTTTGTTTATAGGGTTGTCCAACGTATGGAAAATGATATCTGGAATTCGATAGATAGAGCAAGCGAAAAGGAAAAAGGATAGCGATAGCGCAGATAATAAAAAAAATTCATGAAGTTTATATAAATAATAAAATCACATATTAATTATAAATATAACACGAACTTAAAAATATATATAAAATATATATAAAAATCTGTAGCGTAGCTAGGTGGACAAGGGCCCCGGTCTACCTAATCCTAAGGCTCAAGTAAGAATCGAGTCCTCATCCTCTCTTTTAGCATAGCTTGAATTTAATGAACCTCCAAAATTATAAATAAGCAACAACAACGTTAAAAATCCTTTTCTTCTACGCTTATATCTTCTTAAGGTTAAAATAAGGTTAGAGTGCCCCTAAGTTCCGGGGCCCTGGTGCACTGCACCACATGGCCCAACGATAACTACGCCACTGATAAAAATTATTCTAAGAACACAAAATTAAAGCATTTCTATAGTTTAAAAAAAAACTTAATCTTTACCGGTTAAAATCGCGAATACTTAATAACTTAACTTATTTTGTATTTAAATGCGGTCCGATGTTTTGACGGCTAATGTTTCGCATTTTAAACCGTTAAGAGTGTTTCTTTAAATGTGTTCTACTCGCGTGAACTACAGATAATACTGAATATTGATAGTGCAACAGTTTTGTGAAATAGACAACCCTATAATCATTATTGCAAAACTTAAATAATGATCACTGTGCAAAGTTTAATGTCCCTATTATGTTTAACGTTTTATTATATTTTCAGAGCATTACTTAGTGAATATGCACTGTCATTAACACTATTGCAGAAAACTCTTAGCAGTATTTTTAAGGGCATCAAATTTAAAAAAAGTATTTTATACGATTCTAGATACGTTGGCTTATAGCAAAATGCTATGATTAAGATTACGATGCTAGTGCCAGGCTAGTACGTATAAGTCATTTAAAACCTAGTACCGGTCCGATTGTAAGAAGAGTTCCAGGCGAAGTAACTTTACTCACTCAGATGAGAAGACTTAAACAGCTGGTGGGTTTTAATACCTCCAGTGAAAGCAGTCCTGTGAGGTTGGTATAATTAAATGGTAGAAAGGATCGATCACGTAGTAAGGTTTTGTATAATATTTTACGAACCGTATATTATTTGACCTTTTTCAGTAGGAAAATGTCAAATTAAAAATCAACTTGTTTCACACGACAAGTCTCATAGTAAACTTTCTTATTTAATATCAAAGATGTTACATTATAGGGAGGTAATTGCGTCCAAATGGATCGTGGTCGTAATCACGAAATGCAAACGAACTAGGAAGTTCCAAGCTCGACTTGAACTACATTGTACTAATTTATAAGAAACACAGACTTGCAAACAAATAGTACGGTTAACAGGTACAAGGTTGTACTTTATATCAAATAATCTCGCCAAATATTGGTAAAACTCCTTCGAAAAGGATTCATAGATTTACATGATATATGTATATAGTAGGTTTTAGAATCGTCTACAATAAATTTTAATCTGTTTTAATTATAACAAAAAAATTTATGTGGCATAAAAAAACAGATAGACCCAAAATTTTTATTCTTATCACCAATCGACTTACAATAACTTTATTTCTAAACTAGAAATATGACTAAGCGTATATTTTGTAAAGTTTTTCCCTCTTTCTATAAAGTCATGTAAGACTAAAGCGCATTCAAACGAATTATTGGCTAGATCTGTTCATTGTCTTATCAAAGTATTGTTGAATGTGAACTCTACGAAAAACGTCTATTTATTATATCTTTGTATCTCTATGAATATCGGCCGCAGCTGTCAAGTCCCATAATTATGCTGAAACAATGACTTACGAAATACTTTGCACTTGGACATATTGCAGCGTTGACAATATATTACAACAGCCGTCCAATTAAAAATGTCATTAATATGCAAAAATTGTAATAAATATACTTGAAATTGACTTAGTGCATCCACTAAATTAAGCAACATGGTAAGTTTAAAAATGTCTCATAAATTACATTTCCCTGGGACCTAAACTATGAAACGTGTTCCCAGGGCTCCCTCAAAGCACCGTAGCTGGTGTGTTTAGCGGTTCTGGTCGGCTATTGTACCCGAGGAGTTACGATTATCTCGATACTATTGCCCAACGTCAAAATAAGGCTATGACGCGACTCTCGTAAAACAAGAGTGAATATTCTAAATCTCAAAAGGATTTGTTCGTTGCAGTGACCTATGCGTTGAATTACTTTGCAGAGTCTTTGTTAACGGATGCCGACGTTACGCCGCGGTCAATTGTTAAGGCACTACCTAACAGATTGTGCTGCGTCATTTTATAATTATTTTAACATAAATTAAATACATTAGGATAGTTACTGTATAGCCGATGTGCTCACATACCTCAAGAAGAAGTTAAAGGCTTTTCTTTCCGTACTTTGTAATAATTTTTTTTATTTATTGAGTGCTTGACTGAAGCCGAATAATCGGTTTAGGTTTTAGACTCTACTTTCGGCCATATGTTGAAACAAAAGAACGTTAAATTTATGAATGCCCATCCTAACCTATCTTGATGACCGCTTTCATGCATATTTGACAAAAAGATAGGACACCGTTTATAACACCCGTCTCGCTCATTCAATTATAGTGAGAAAAATTATTTATTTAACTCTTTTCAAAAAATATGTAAGAATTATTCTTAATTAAGATACAGTGTAGATACCGCTTTAAAACACATTTTTCTGACAATACGGTTTCCAATACATCTGTCAAAATCAATCGTATATTTAGCCAAAGCCGAAGTTTCGATCGGATAGGGAGAACATCACACTAATACAAGAATCAGTTAGATCTGGGCTTAAAATGTTTTCAAGTTAAGAGAACTTGGTGTATGCACGCGTGTTACGCAGTCCGTTTATCTTTTGTTTATCTTTACCACGTTTCATTAGGAATTATGACCATTGCACCTTCAGCAATCAAGCAAATTGGGTTTCTTCACTTCGTTATATTATTCACAACTACATCTTGGAAATAAAGTACAGTGTCAACTCTATTTGACCCGGATAGAATAAATGATTTCTTAAAACAGCGGTTCTCAACGGAGACAAGCTTTAAGCTGGGTTAATTAAAAAAAACTACCTTTTTCCTAATGCTCAATTACAAGATATCAATAAAATACATAAATACTGTAATAAAACACTAATATGTTAACAAATCCGCTTTTATCTGATAACGAAGTAATGTTGTTTGTAATAACTAATATAAGCTTTTAAAAGCTGTTAGTGACGTTGAAATTTTGCACAATAGCTACAGTGTACCTAAAGTTTTGTAAAGTTAAAATATGCATAAATTCATAAGAAAGTGTTGTTCAATATATTTTGATAAACATCTATCTGAGATAAAACATTTCAAACGGTCTAAAACGCTAAATATATTATTTAACTTTTGAAAACATTAATATTGTTTACATGTCATTGCACATGTAATGCAATATTTAATTTAAAAATAGAAAATAAATTGAAAATAATTTCGATTTGAGCCGTTTAGCCCCCCCCCCTATTTGTTCCCCCCCCCCCCCACGGACTTATGCGGTTCAAGTCCTTCAAATTTTTTTCAATTTTTGTAGATTTTTAAATTATATTATTTAACTTGCTTACAATTTCTTTAACTACGACCCGACGCTTCGGATGCTTTGTCATTGGGACTGAAGATGCATTGTATCCCCAATATACGTTCTGTCCCCCCATGACCACGGCTGCTGCAAACCATCCGAAACGTCAAGCCGTATAAGTAAATTAATACATGTTAAATAATGTATATCTGTAATACTCGTGTGTATTTTACTGCAGATAATACCTCAAAATAAAATTATCCGATGTGTAGACCGCCTATGTATGCACAAACAAAAGTTTTATCAATATTCGTTAAGTAGTTTATAGCATCAATTAATCTTAACTAACGTTAGCATTTATAATAGTTGCAAGATAGGATTGTCTGGGCTTGTGTTTAATGCTTTATTCGCCGTAACAAAGCTATCTTTTGAAACAATTCAATTAAGGAGTCGAAACGGCGTAACTGAATTAATTTCACGCTTGTTTATACGCCGGCATCAGCATGGATAATTCTTTCCACCTCCGTGAACAAGTATGTTGTGGGATTGATACTAGACTTAAGTTGTGGAGCAACTGTAAAGCTAAGGATAGTGCAAAATTTATTTTAAAATTAAAACGTTTTTGTGGACATTTTAAATATCTAATTATCTTTTGATAGACGTGCAAACTGAATCCATCTATGCCCCAACGTTTCAAATGCAATCATTTCGCGTTTTAAACCGTTAAAAGTGTTCTATTTAAATGAGTATTACGCTATTTAACAGCACAATTTGAATCAGTCTATTTAGTTAGTAGGAATGTCATTGACGGTATAGGTTAATTATTTTTTCTACTAATTTTGATTTTTATTTAGCGATCTAGTGAAAGTTTCTTTCATTTAGCTGTATTTTAATAAATATCCATAGCTCAAGGCTTGATGGTCTAATGGCATCTATCGTATGGCTAATAATAATCAACGGGACGTGGGTTCGATTACTACCGGATCCAAAATGTTTTTAATCAAATTATATTAAACCACTCCACAGAGAAAAGCTGTGACCTTAAACGCATTTCGGTTGCAGTCTGTGGATGTTCGAATATCTAACGCTAAAATAGGTCGTGCGCGCATCTTATTATTATGGAGCAAGGCCGGGCCTATTTTAGCGTTAAGAGAATGCTTGCCCCTATTCTATCTAAAAATCGTAATAATTCGAAATTACGTAAAAAAACGAGTTTTTGTAATCGAGATAAATAAAATATTTTTTACTTACGACAAAACGTTGACAAACGCAGCATGGTGTTGGTGCTCTTCGTTGAATTAAAACTAAATCTGAAAAAAAAACCATTGTGTTAATGACGAAAATAGATTTTTTTAATGACATTTAACGTTTTTCGCTTGTCAACAGAATGATAAATAAGTAATCTACAAATTTAGCAGTCATCAGAGGAAATCATTATATTAAATAAGGCCGTAATTATTTGCATTGCTTTGAAATTCTAAAGGATAAGGACTAGACCATTAGGGCTCAATACAAAATAGATGATAATTGGTAAAACGTGAAATACCTAAATACAATTCGATATTTATAATAACCATAATTTTCTGTACTGTTAGAGCCAATTCAGTTAACATTCAAATGAGCTTGTTAAATAGTATAGAATTGTAGGTCTGTTTCAATACGAGGCAGACACATTTTTGTATCCGTTTTACTAATTAATTTTATTGACAGGCTCAGGAGTAGACTGTCGTGCTGTGTTCAGTCGAAACTATCCATTTTGTATTCCCGGAGTTCGAATCTATGATCTCTAGCGCTGAAGGCTAGCCATAGTATGTAACTACTGAACCACGAAGGCGGTTAAGTGTATAACAATGAACAAAATGCTCTCAATTATAGTTTCAAAAGTAATTGCGGTTAGAAACAAAAGCTTTTATAGAGATTATAGACTTTGAATTGGTTACAGAACTATTGTTTGTAGATTCAATATTTGTTTTTTTAGATAATAATCGCATAATTTTTTAATGCTTTTCCGAAAGTTTGGTAAATTTAATAACAAATATCTATTATATATATTTTATCATTTTTCTATTTAGAGCTTTTACGTATTTCGCCCTATGTTGGGCTTGGACTTTACAAGTGTTTGAAAGCGAATGCAGATTAGCATCACACGGCTTTTCCAACCGTGGGTGGTGGTTTGTATCCCGAATGGTATATTTTAACCACCCATTTAATGTTTAGATCTTCTGACAAGGTGGAACGTGTATCAGAAATGATATTAAGAAGTTTGCCCGTGGGCTTCGTTTAGTTCGAATTTTTATAATATATTGTTAGGATACGCATTACAAAATACCTACAACCCTAAATTCCCCTTTTATTATCAACCCCTATATTTCTTTATCCTAATAATTAAAACATTTTCCACCCCGATTGATAATAATTGAACAATTAACACTTGGTAAGCTTTTCCCCTATGCGTCTCCCATTCTCAGTAAACAATAATAAGTTAATGTTTGGTGTTTCGTTATTTTTTATATGGCCTAAGCATTCACAGTGTTGCCTCTTGTAGTTCCCTAGGAATATTTATATGTATAAACAATGTTTCCCAAGTCCGCTAGTTTAAATATATGAGGCTGCTAGAGGCAGAGTGGCCTAATAACAAAAAAAATGATTTTCAATAAGGAGGAAAATTAAGTTAGGCTAAAACGAGTTTGTACTATTATTTGAGTAAGAATTATGTTAAAAATTTTCGGTCACTGTGCTTTTGTAGATTAACAGTGTTACACTATGAAGACTCAAGTTATAAAAATTGCAGTTAGGCTACTCTGCCTCTAGCCTCATGTAGCTTCTTATAAAGCCCTTTTGATGTATATAACACTATAGCCACAGCACTTCACATCCGAATCCACCAAATAACTCACCAAATGCACTGTGCGCGCGCTCAGCGCAAACTGTGCCGTGTAGACCACGCTAAGGCTTTTATATTTAGACCACCAATACTCGAAGGGTTGCGATGACACACGAAACTGCAACACATCTAGGTCGCTGTACGTGGATCTAAGAATTGTAATGATTAGCGCATTTGTCGAGTTTCAAACGTTTTGTAATACAATAATTTGTGATCGCGCGCACTCGATTCGCAAAGTGTGCTTGTGATGTGCAATTTTCATTCGCTCTATTACGATTAGTGTATCGATAATTGCGCTTGCGCTTTCAATGATAGATTTTTCTTTATTGTCGCAATCAGTGGTTTAATATTGTTTCCCAAAGATACTGTCTTACATTTGAGGCTTTTGTCTATAGGTACATTTACTACTGACTGTCTTTATTAGTCGAATTTTACAGACGTAATGTAATTAGACGAGAATGGTATGCATTAGGATAAACATTTTTTAAAGTTTATTTCGTGAATTTTATTTTTACGATCGGCGTTCTGTCAGCGCCAAAAAAAGACAGCTAGAAGCCCCAAGATTCGAGATCGGCGTTTTGTCAGAGTTTGGTCATATTTCGCAATTTAAACCGTTAAAAGTGTTTGTTTGTAATATAAATAACTCTTTATATAATAGTTAAATCATATTCGATTTATGTAGATTAAATGAATTAGGCATAGCTTTGATTTCATTTTATATTTTTGGCAAAATGTCGGAAAATTGTTGTAATATTATTATTATATTTGTAGATCTGTGGATTGTAATAATTATGTTAACTCATTCTAAGTCTTGTGCAAGACGAGTAGTAGCATATTTATAATTAAGAGCTACGAATTTCAATTCAAACTACTATGTAGATGTTTGCAATCTCCATAAACCTTTTGTATGGGACACCGAGCTTTACAATGACACCTATTATTATCATCTCACTATTATTTAAGGTCCAAACTCTTAACATTGTCGTAATACTGACTTAAGAAATGCATTTTAATTCACTAGAATAAAATTTTCTACAATACTAATTTGGCATTAAATATATCTTTAGTTCAGTTTATATACATCTTTCCTCTTTACGATATTAGTCAGTTATTTATATGAATTTGTCCTGTTTTTATATATGATGTTACTGATCCTTTCGACCTTTAATACGCCTTTGTAGCCAACAACAAACGTGTTAGCAGCATACCAAGCATTCTGTAAAGCGCGAGAGGTCCTGGATCTTATTCCCGGGGAAGCAATAAATTGTTTCAGTCAGGCAGGGCGCCGAAGTCTGACCAACGACTTGCCTGTAAATCATAAATCAAACCGATCAGTGAAACGGACACAAAATTGTGTTCGCCCCATGCCTTAAGGGAATTTCACTTAAAACAAGTTGATAGGTTTAGTAATGAACTGAAGAAACTAGAAACTCGATATCGCTTTCACAATTAATAGTATTGTTGAGTGCAAACTAATAAGTTTTTTTTTATGATGGAGGAGAAGCGATAAGCATAAGGTTTACTGAATGGAAGGTAAAATACCCCAGCCATACCATGTAGACTAGATATGTAGATGAAGATATAGACATTCAAACTTTTGTATTAAACGTAACTACTGATTTATATTAGATCTCGCTTGATAAGACCCAGTGTTTGAAAGGAATCTTAATCTAATTAGTTATTATATAATTCTGATCTAGTAGTCTGTCAACTCCTTATCTTTGTAGACGGTTTGTGCTGGAGTTTCTTTGATAATTTGATATCGATCTAACTACATAATCGGACAATTGACGTTTGATTAGTGTGCCGAATTAAAAGTGAAGTATAGTCTTCTATATTGAAGGTCTACATACACTATACAGGTTTTTTATGGATAATCACTGCGACATTTCAAGTTTAATCTATACTAATATATAAGCTGAAGAGTTTGTTTGTTTGTTTGTTTGAACGCGCTAATCTCAGGAACTACGGGTTCGAATTCAAAAATTAGTTTTTTGTTGGTTAGAGCATTTATCAAGGAAGGCTATAAAAAATCCCGCTGTGGCTAATAAGACAAAAGGGATTTTCATCGTATGGGGTTCCAGCTACCTGCAAAAACGTACAAATACCCAAAAAATATGTACGAAAGAAATCCTCTGTCTCAAAAAGGGGCTTTATCTTTTAAGATTAATTTGCAAGAACGACGGGAAGGGACGCGACCAATGTCGTGGGTAACAGCTTAAAAAACTATTCTCCGGGGAAGAAGGGCTGGCCCAGCTAGTATTAAGATAATAAATCAAAAGTCTTGTTTATAAAATTGAAAAGAAGAGATTATTCATGATTACTTCGTTATCGATAATTAGCCGAAGGGGGCTTAAAACAAGTTTTTTAGGACAAAATATAAAGTTTACATAACTTAGACCATGATAAGCTTAAAATAAGAACTTATTTGACAATAGTTATTTCAGTTCAGTTTTTTATTTATTGAATTAATTTTGATGGATCCTTGGACCAATGGTGGGGAATGTATGGCTATGAATCAGTCGCGAGTTCGGTCCATACTTCAACATGTTTTATCAATTTATAATTTTTCTGAAACACGTTGCACTTCGTCTGAAAATCTAGATAATATTAATGACAAACTCGAAATTCCGTCCGGATCCTTGGACCAATCCGTCAACGTATGAAAAGCCATGAATCGGTCGCTTGGTTCGATCCATACTGGGTTCAACATGGTTTTAACAATTTATAATTAGTCTGAAACACGTTGCACTTCGTCTGAAATCTAAATGGCGAACATCGAAGTGCCGTCCGGGTCACGAATCCACCGTCCACGGATAAAAAAAACCATGAGATTTAACTACCTTTCAGGTGACCGTCTCTGACTTTCCAAGATATAGGGAAAGTGGAAGCAAATAGGAACGACAGGGCATCTTAATGAATCTATGAGGCCTATGCAGCCTGGGCATCTACGCCTGTATCATAAATAAAAATATTTTATCGTTATTTTAAGTGATATTAATAATAATAAAATAGATATATAAAAAGTACTGTCTCCTTGTATTATTTGAATGGCCAAGTTTTAGGGATTTGATCTTGTGTGATCATATATCTGATTGAGCTGTTTTACTTGTTATGGAACGGTTGTGAATGCGTCAGTATTGAATTTCTGAAACATTACACTGTCACGATACTATTTGACGTTTACATAATATAATTACTTCATTCCAACGTGAAAATGGGCTAAACATGTAAATTTAAAATGTTGATGATATTAATTTAATAATTAAGAAAATACTAACTCCAGTCTAGTGGTTAAGCTTTTACTGACCACGACGTTGCTTCAAATCCTAGGTCGACAGAATTCGTTCGATATTTGAAACTATTATGGTGTCATTACTTCACACACCTTAGTTCATCGTTATGTACGGTGGTGGAAGTTAAAGCCCTCCAAACCACACTGGAGCAGCAAGAGCTCAGCTGTGGGACACTAGATGATTAAAACGAATTGTTAGGGACCTGTCTTTAGAAATGGGAATAAAATAAAATAAAGTAGTGAAGATAAGAAATGAATTAAAAGAGTCAGTAGCTCGGTAGCTCTATTGGTTAGAGCAGCACGGAATTCGGAACGCTGAGGTTGCCGATTCAAGTCCTGCCCGGATCGTAATTGTATTCGTTTTATCATCAATGTTTAATTCATATAGTGCCATCATGTGCATGTGAAAAACATTAAAGCTTTCAACATAACACATAAACAAAAGATTTCACGTTTATTGTACTTCTCTAACATTTAAGAGATAGCTTCTTTTCGATGTTTTAATCATGTTTAAAGTAAGTATATCGCTTTTATCAATTAAAAGCCATCGAATAACAAAGGCAGGAATTTGGTAATGGTGCAACACACAGTACATACAATGGATTTGGGTCGTTGAAATTATCATTGTTTTAACGGGTTTATTTTTATGGTGTAAGAGTTCAGTAATTTTCTTATTTAATAACAGGCACCTCGATGCTTCGCCGATCGCGGTGCGAATTTTGACGCGAATGGCGAAGCGATCAGTCGAGCGATTTTGTGCATATTTCATTCATGCTTTTGTTACCCTCTGTGTTTGATTCGATCGCCATTATTTCAGTCAACCAGTATTTCAGTCGCTAGACGCGTCGGCGTTTCCATTAGCGAATTGAAAGATAATTAATGGTTTGCGTAAGTTAAGAGTAGCTTAACTTGCTCACATTGCTTAGTATTCGATTTCATGAGAGGTCAAATTATTCAGAAAAAAGCCTAACAAATATTGATACGGAAAAGTCTAAATTAAAATATAAGAGAAAGCTCTACTTGCCTTTTTCTAGGAATTAAAATAATTAGATTTCTTTTTTTATTACAAAAGCACACAGACAGCTTTGAACATTAAACCAAAACACGATTACATTTCACATCTTTTCAATTATCTGGACGACAGTTTGCGTGCGTGAATGACTTACGATATTCCTTTTATCCATTTAATCATTAATTATAGTTTGTCATTTGATCAACGAAGCATTACGTCATAAATCACCAATGAACCAAGATCATGGTTTTGTTTAAGAAAACGTTATTGTTTTAGACATTTCGATCAGTAATGATGTATACGGTCACGACTGCGCAGACGTCGTGGATTCTGTTGACACGACGCCCGCGCCGTCTCCAGGCCATCTTCGCACGATCTGTTACTTAATTTATTTTTAAGAGCGTTCATTTTTTTATCGAAGAAGGGCAAGAGGCCATATAACAATTTAAACGTCCTTGAACTATAAGAAAATGTAAAAAAAAAAACGGATAATTAGCTATAATATTAGGTATCTGAGAGTAGATTCTTAACATAAAAATACGCGTTGATCGTGCTCAACGTGAACATTTTTTTGGTATTACTGCTTATCATATGAACAAGGTTTTCAGCTTTAACAATAAACTAATTATATAGGTAGATTGATACGGTAGTTCTACAAGGTACAGGTAATGCACGGAACGATGTGGTCGTGAGTTCCAACCCCGGTGTTTGGAAAATATTTATTATCTAAAAGAAAAACGCATTTAAAACTATGTACCTATCACGTTATCCATGTAATAGGTCAACCGCGCATTGTTCAGAAAAGATGGCTTCCGGCTTTAAATAAGTTAAATTACCTATAGGTACACGACACGAAACGATATGATCGTGAGTTCGAGTCTCGCACAAAAAAAATATATACGCTAGATGCATGTAAAAACATTATGAATAGTTTTTGTTTTTTTGTTTTACAAATCTATGTTTAAAACCTCTCCTCTAGTCCAAATAATTATTGTTGGATTATAATGTTTAACACGGGAATGGGAACAGTTATTTAATTCAACAATTACCATAATAAGTGGTTGCATCCCATAGCTTTATCGGTGTTAGTCGTGTTAGTAATAAAACACCACGTAATATGTGTAATTTAAAAGTAATAGCATGTCGGATGTTTGTCTGTGGGCATCTCCCAAATTGCTGTACAAATGTCAAGATCATCACGCGATGGTGTTTCTAATGTCATATTACTTCATTTTCAAGACAAAAAGTCCGCGATAAGTGTTAAGTCACTATATAAGTACACCATACGTTGTTTAAAAGTTTGCGAACAAATGGAGCAATTTTATAGTAAATTTGTATCGACAAAATGAAATAACAGTTACAATGTGTCTTGTACGAACCTCGCATCAGCTCTGATTGTGTCTTGGGTTCGAATCTTAGTGGCTCTCTGGTATAATATGGGGTTCATGTGGTGGTAGGTGAAATACCCCAGCCATATAACATCTAAATAAAATGTGCTGTCGGCCTATTTTAGCATTGGATATTCGGCCCTACTTTGTTAATAATAATTTAAGTTTATTGCGTATGGAATGTGACCCATTTAACAACAAACACCTACCGTCATATTTGGCCCCGTTGAGCTAATCGTTACAAAAGTTGACCGCAAGATGTCGTCATACCCGAAGCCCTATTTT